CGCTGCTATTTTGTGCGTGCTAGAGCATCGTCAACTACGCCCACAGTTTTTTATCGTTGGAAGTATTTACTTTCGTATAGTATATTTCAATTAGTATAAAGTTCGCACATTATTATTATACCAGATAGTTAATTCATTATAGTTATTTTGATTGTAGCTGAACCTTTTTACCAGTTTTTCGGAATAGGGAAAAATAAATACAAGTAAGTATGCGTCATTAAACGTAAAAAAAGAAATATCTTATCTCTGTAGCAATAATAATGGAGAATAAAAATGTCTGCATGCTTGCCATATGGACTGCCCCAGATTATACAGTAAAAGTACTAAAAATCTACAAAGACGACAAATTTTGGATTTTGAATATCTAGACTCGGAAGGTAAAGGCACATAAGTCAAATCGTTTTGCATGTAAAATTTTACAGGAGAGGGTTATATTCGATTGGTGTGAAAAAAATGTAATGTTTGCACTCTAGGTAGGAGTGATACGAAGTATCAGCCGAAGAGGACGCAAGGCCGGCTTCGCCGTTTCCAGATGGTAGTGGACGGCGTTAAGGTTTGAATGAAGTCCGCTGATATTGCAGAAATTCACGGATAGCGTAGGGGGCGCCTTTGTTTTATTGCTCCGTTTGCCCCTTGCAGGTTTAGCTTCTAGCGAAATTTCGCCCCCCCCCCTCAGAGTACGCGGGGCAGCATGAGCACCTACGCTCGGGAAGAGTAGGGTAGCATGAGCGTGGATGCTCAGCGAGAGATTGTCCGTCACCAAGGGTACTGCTACCCTCCTGGAGTAGTTTTGTTTTTAACTCCGCTACCATGTTATGGGTGGGGGGAATTGGACCTCCGGCACTCACCGTACAAAATGCAGAAGCAGAGCTTTTACTTCACGGCTGGTCTTCTGTGAGGTCGTGGTACCACCCCGGTTCGAGCGGGGCCACGTGCAACAGCAAAAGGTGCCGCGTGGCTTTACCACTGTTATTTTATAAAAGTAATAATGAATTTAATGTTTATCTTTAGAAACAATGAAAGATTTAATGAGATTTGTATTTCGCGTCGCCAACAATAGCTTTATTTATTTACGCCTTTGTTTAACGTCTATAAATCGTATCTTTGACTTTAATTACCGTTTTTTTTTAAATTATTGAGTACTTACTTTATGTTATATGTTTTAAAAATGTTTTCTGTGTCTTGGGTCTACAATAAAAGTAGATTCGTTCATTTATTCATAAACCTCTTGTTCATATTTTCAGGACTTCTGGCGCTACAAGAACAGACTGGTGAGGGGCGTAAAATCAAACCTTTAATATAATTTAGTGGATTCCGAATCTTACACCGTAAGGAATAAGGTACAGGTTGGGGTGCAATCGTTCGCAAAGATTTACTGCTGTAATAATTAATAACTTTGTAGTATATCTTCCCTTGTTACATTCTAAAGAAATACGTATCCAAAACTATACTGGGTTTTTTGTATTATTTCAGAGTTGACTGTTAGAGGCCATAAGGCATTAATGCCGCCTTTTCAAATAAAATTATAACTACTTATGTATCATATTATTTTTGCTTGATAAATAAAAACGACAAAAATATGTAGAATTGTTTTATTTATAATCTTAGGTCCTGTACACACTATATATTTAACCCTTATGACAATAGTTTGGTACACTTCTTAATATTAATTTAAATGGAAAATAGAAATATACCAAATTATTTATTACACGTAAATTATTAAGTTATTCCAATTAAAATATAACATAATTTCAAAAAGTATCTTTCTTTCATAATAGTGGAATATCAATACACCAGTACTTTAATACTATGTTACAGTATTTGTAAAGAAATTAAGTTTTTCCTAAGTACCATTACATTGTAAAACATTTCACGGCGGACTGGAACTCGAACGGTGTCCCTGTGTTCCAGGATTCCAGATTTACTAACAGCTGTGTTTGCGTTTTCTATTGAATAAAGATCAACTAGTGGGTGATAAATAATTTCATAAATGATCTAAACTTTATTAAAATAGGTCACAAGACACGAAGCTATTTTTTTTTGTTTAAGCTTATATTAATAACCTTTTGCAATATTAAAATTAAACCAACATAAATCAGTCGCATATAACGTCTTAACGACTTAAGCCGGTATTCAGAAACTGTTAACGCATTCTTGGTAAACTGAAACGTAAAATTTATAACGTCATAACAGACTCTTGTATCACGTGCGCACCAAGCAATAGCGTAGCTACTAAGTTATTAAGTAGTTAGTTATTTGAAATTACTTGTAATCTCCTGTTAAAATTAATATTGTTATACGCACAGATCTCGTACAGGACACATCTTTAATTTCACCTTCAAGAAATCCTAGTCAAATTTTCAAACGAGTCAAAAACAAAAGTTATAAATAAGAAGTGCCCAACAAAAATTATAACGTATTTTCTTGGAAAAAAAAGGAAATTTTTTGACGAGGAGAAAAAATAAAGAATCATTAAGAAAAAAAAAGAACTACGCCAGAGTATGAAAAAAAAAAAAAAATTAATTGGCATTAGGAAATGTAAATATTTAGTATTTACTATGCTTTATAATGTTAGTTTTTTTATATACCGTAAGAACTTTTAATTGGCATTAAGAAATGTAAATACTTACTATGCTTTATAATGTTACAAAATGCTAGATAAGTAGATGCAATCGATTGTGGTTTAGGTGTATTCTATACATACTTATATAATTTATAAATTGGGTAAATAACCGCAGATTTAGGTGTTTTTAACAAATTTAACAGACAGTATACCTAAGTGTAAACTAGCACTTCGGTTTTTCGCCGTATACATGATACTAATAAAACTTATCAAGATAAAAAGTTATATTAAAATATTGGACAGTGTGCTTCTTTCTATCTTTATTGGCGTACAAGTTTCTAAAATCTAAATTAATTCACACATTAAGAAAAGTTCCAACACTATAACTGTGTAATTAATGGTAGCTATATATATATATACAGTGTGTCCGGTCACGGACTAGCGATATTTTAGGTACTTATAATACAGCTATTTTAATATAATACCCAAGCAGCAAAAACAAGAAATACACCACATTGTAAAAAGTAAAACAACCTATATATATATATATATATATATATATATATATATATATATATATATATAATTCAGCACTTCAATCAATATTCTAACTATTGATGAAATTGATAGCATCCGATGAGAAAACGGCACTAAATTGTACGTAGTTATATGTTATTATTAATTTTTATAGAGTAATAAGTACAGGAAACATATAAAATCTATTATGAAAGTTATATAAAATATTATACATAATATACTTAGTGTATTTATGCAGGTATACAGTAATAGTGTTCTATTATTTACAATATTATATAAATCCTACAAAATAAAATATAGGGCTTTTCTTAAACAACAATTTATTTATATTTAAGAAAAACTACCAAATTTTTGCAGAATATTCAAACTATTTATAATAAAATTAAAAACAATCATAGCCATATATAACAAAAAAAGTTTTGATTTTTAAGCAAATGTAACACATTTTTATTACTGGCAATTTACAAATTTAAAAATTTAAAGGTATTAAATTAGAATTCCTGCCAAAGTTAAAACCATGTACGCGTGAAAATTTGGATGCATTTTTATACACTCACTTTAGAATTAGTGTGATGGTAAAATTTATTACATTTATTATTAAATAATAAATAAAAGTTTTTTTTTACGATCTTATTCGTACATATCTACTATAAAATCTATTTTAAATGGTTAACTAAAACTATACCGCACATACATTGAGCTAATATGTGCTACGTACTAGAGGCGACACTGCATTCAGCTACTATGTTCCATTCAACTGCGGTGCATACACTGCACTTTAATCAGTCACTCACTAGGCGCTTGTAGAGTTGACACGTGTTGTGTTGATTTAAAAAAAATCTCATGATAAAAATATGCCGTCGTGCGTACTTAGATATTGCACAAATAATTCAAGAAATGTCAGTAAAAACCAAGGAATTACTTTTCATTGGTTAACAAGATACTTAATCAATAAAAAAAGTATTATAAATTAGTAATAAAACAAATTATTCCTAAGACGCCATCTTGTGTCACGTAATATAGATTATGAAATTAATTTGTTCAGATGCGACATTTCTGTGGGTACTTAAGTATAGGACGAATATATTATTATACACATTTTTTTGTAGAAACATATATGAGTCATCATAATTGGGCCTAATTTTTTATATTTAAATCTGCTAATTATTCTTATATTTTATTTTTAGGTTTCCACATCAAAGTCAAAGTGGAATAAAGTCGTCAATTTTTAACTCTCGCGTGCCCAGTATTTATGAACGGCTCTTATTCTAATTTAAATAAATATATTTGTAATTTAAATTTTATATTAACAAGTTTTGTTAAACATACATTTAGTATGTACTTTTTATATTTGAGATAGATACCTTTTAAAATATTGAGATAAAAATATCATTAAAATGTAATTGTGATATAATATTATATTAAATAAGCAAATATAATATACAAAATAAATGACAAAATTTAAAAAATTGTTCTCGATATAATTTACCTACTTAACAGTACAATCTTTTATTACCTACTGATCATTCTACCTATGTTTATTCTATGATAAGAAAACCAACCGCGCGAACACAGACACAGAGTAGCGCACATTGTTTGAGATAGCTGTTCTAGTACGTAAGTACATATTACTTCAATGCGCACATATTGTAAAGAGTGATTTTATAGTAAACACATTTCTTCGAGGGGCTCGCGTACAACTTCCCGTAACATACCAAAACCCTATACGCGCCTAACGCGCTTGCAGAAGCATAGTTTCGAAAATTAACTTACAATTTAAAACTGTGACGCAAGACTAGATCTGGTTGAAATAAACAAAAGCGATTTACTGACAATGTATGACAAGACACATTATTTATGATGACAGCGTGAGTCTAAGGCAATAAATAACTACAAGTATTTAATAGCCTATTCGCATATTTATATACAGTTGCGAAATTTTATGAATACAAATGAACAGGTGAATGGTAACTGAAGATTGATGTGTTGTGATTAAAAATCTGAAACAAAAAAGTAAAGCAATTAAGATATGTATAACCAAAAAATATAAACAGTAAAAGGAAAATGAACAAACACCTTTACCAAATTAAAAGGCAATTATTAGCAAAAACAAATACTAATTGTCTTTTTCATATTCAGTAATTCCTCCAAAGCTCGATTAACGAAAATTTACTATTTGCGTATGTTGAACAAATACGTAAGTTTTCTTATATTTACGCGAACACTACACATTGATATAATACTAGTTTTTACAGAATTTATCGCGTATATTTAACTTTTTAAATACCCGACGTTTCAAACGCTTTACAGCACCCATGGTCACGGGAAGGACTGAGATGTTCAACGTCCAGATGTCATAGTTAACCGCGGTTACCATAGATTAAAATTTAACTTTTGTTCCGATCTACACAGTATGAACTTATGGTATCATGAAGTCTTGCAGTTGTCTGCTTGGGTTGGGATTTAATTTTATTTATTATAGGATCCCAAGCAGATGGTAGCACCCAGCCATCTACTCTATTGAAATTAGGATGTTTTTTGATTTCAATGGCCTCGCGAATCATCCTTGGAAGGAAACGGTGTTCTTTAGCGAGGATTTGTGGTCTATCAAATCTGATGTAGGGACGGGGGCGATCCTGTACGTGTTCACAGACTGCAGACTTCCCGGAGCGTCGATTCTTCACATCAGCTATATGTTCTTTAACTGTAAAGAGGTGCTGTAAAGCTCTTGAAACGTCGGGTATTTAAAAAGTTAAATATACGCGATAAATTCCGTAAAAACTGGTATTATATTAATACGTAAGTTATTCACAAAGAACATATACAAATAAAAATCTTATATTATATTACTGTTTCTGTTACTGATTCTAAAGAGTTCGAAGAGTATTATTGTATATAATCCGAAAGTTAACAAGATATATTTTATGTAATATACATATTATATTTTTTATCAACCTTTTACCAATAAATTGTTAAGGTTAAATTAAAACCTATTAAACTCGACTCTATTAAACTAGCGTTAACACAAACGAAAACCAGAAACCCATAAAAAATCATATTTACCTTTGAAAAACTGCATTTTACAATTAAATAGAAAGCAAAAATGAAAGCCAATATCTTGAAATTCTACTTTATTTTGCACTATTTTCTATAAAAAAATATAGGTACACAAAGTAAATTAAATAACTATAAACTTTAAAAGCTACAACAAATCTGTAACAACGTCATCTATTAGTACAATAAATTTCAGCATATTTGTTGATGTCCAACAACAGATGGCGCTTACATTAATTGTTATGTGTACGTGAATACTACATAATATTTACTGTTAGTAAAGCATCTACAAGCTTATAATAATGATTTTAAGCTTATTTTATTACTAAAGGACTGGCAAAATTATGTTGTCATTTGATAAGATCAACCTTACTACCAATTACTACTACGCCTTGATTTGCTAGAAAAGCCGGAAACTTAATCAACTAATAAATGTTTCCCAGTTTTTCTACCCGTGGCAATATGTTACTAAAACGAAAAAACAATCATTGACGAATTATATTATATTTATTTATAATATTTTTATATATTTATAATATATGAACTTCTTTTCTCTTAGTCTCATTTTAAATTTCATTAAACAATAATTAGTACTTCACAAGTAATTCATTTTTTTGTACAATTGTAATAAAAATATATCACGTAAATATAAAACACTACAAAAAAAATTCTGGTTTCAAATAGCGATGCTCTTTTATTGCTTTGTGTGAATGTTTTGTTTACTATATATCTATAAGGTATTTCACTACAAATTAAAAAAACATATTTGAGCAATAATTAAAGCCGAATAATATTATATCTATTTTAATATACATTTCTTAGAGAAATCACTGTTGTGTCTTCATCATTCATCTTATTTTTATCAAACAAACAAACAAAACAAACTGGATTGACAATGAACTTACGGTCCTACTGCAGTATGGACACCTGCAAACAGTGTCACATGATCACATCTCGAGACTAAGATGGAAATCCTTTTAGCCTAACATAGCTGTGCAATAACGGCTATTTAACACAGCAGTACAAGTATAAATTGCAGTTACTTAGCGGCACGAATGGGTAAGAAGTTCTCCTATCACCTTGTTAAAAAATTAACTTTCTACGCGGATTCTTTTCTTTATTGTGGAGGCAAACACGAATAAACATCTAAACATGGAACAGTAATTTGTGGACTGGACTATACGACACTTGCTCCGTGCGGGAATGGAATCCATGTCCCTTTATATCTTTTTGAAACCGAACCACTGCGCCGAGTCGTGTATTGTTTGATGTTGGTGAAATATTCAACAATATACGAGTATTGTAGATTTATGAGTGTTATTCTTATGATAATGAATATTAATATTGATCTGAAGACTTCAATCCGAATGTTTTTCTCTTTATTATTTTGTAGTTGCATGGTATAAAAACGCTACCGTATAAACAATACATACAAGTATTTAAAATTTGACAAAATGGTATTAATTTTGGTTTCATTATCTATTATTTCTATATAGTTAGATCGCTTTACTCTTCTACATTGAATTATTTTGGAGTAGATTTTGGTACTTTTAGCGGTACATATTATAAACACTGACCTACATTTGCTGCCTTACAGACGATTTTAAGTCTGATAAGATTAAGCGTTATTATACAAGTTCAAAGAATACGATTGTGACATTGGTCAAACAAAGTATATGCTCAATCTAGCCAGCACAGGTGGTGCAGTGTATAGGCGGTAGGCAGTGGACGAGGTTCAGTCCCTCGTGGGCACGTAGACGCGCACGATCTCACCTTCGTGCTTTCGTTGCGACGGCATGAAGTAAAAGTCTGGTTGCGCGCCGCCTGCCTCTCCCTCCCCCTCCCTCACACTGCGAGCTCCCCCCCCGCAACCCGCCCCCACCACGCGTACCACCTGGACCTCGCGGCAATGAGTAGGCTGCTCTGTCCCTCTCGCTCACGGCGTATGAACTGAAAAAGGAACAATTAGAAAATGACTCGAAGGACCAAAAATGGAGGGTAGAAAAGATTCTCTAATTGCATTAACTAAAAAGGACACACAAACAGATTGTATATATAGTTGTAGAGAAACTGAAACAGGAGATGGCAGCAATAACTGCGTGAGAACTGAATTATAAAAAGGTTGCGGTGGTCAACCATAGCATAGAATATATTTGTACGTGGTAAAGCCATGCTGCAGGTGTATTGTAGTTGTAGAACGAATGGGTCGGCTCGACCGGGGAAAGGCCACGCTGGACCTCGCTCATTGATGAAACATGGATAAACACCAACCACACTGTACCGTAGACATGGACGGATGACACGTGCCACATGGACGATGGTAAAAGGTAAAAATACAACTTATACACAGGGGATGTCTGGGGCCAAAGTGATGGCGGAAACAAAGAAAATTGTTACGGTAGACTATGAAAAAGACATTTATTTTGAATGGATTATAGAAAGTCAAATAAAAACTAATGTAAACAACAACGACGACGACGATAGCTTAACTAGGTAGTTGTAGTGAGAATCATAAAATAAATTTGTTTTTAGTCTAGTGCAGTCTTTAATTGGGTAATTTTGCAATAACCGGCCAAATTTGAATAGAAGCTTCAGAACAAGTATATAAGTTAGCAGTAACCAATAAATATGAAAAATCTGATAAATGTTGTGTTTCAGTTATCAGTTTCTAATTTATTCTGGTATTAATTCTAAATAAAACTATTAACAATTACCAACTCTAAAGAATCGATATCGATATCTCTTAAGAATCGAATATTGTTGGTATCGATTTTTAAGTTGACATACCTAGTCCAACTACTACTAGTGACAGCTGTCAAAAGGTATTTCTTAGATTTGGTGGAGTATAAATAGTTAAATAACTTTTTATTCTTATATGGGACCACCTCTGAAGAAAAAGAAACATTAAAATCGAATAACAGTTAAAGATATCTCTTAACACACAAAAAAAACATCATAGAGTCGCATTAACAACCTCCTCCTTTCTTTGCAGTCGGTTAAAAACAGTACATATGAGGCATCCCACAGCATTGCTAACTTATCATCTAAATATACTTTGTTAATATTTAAGGTAAAACTTTTCATCATCTCCGAGTCAGTAGTGATTGATGAACAATGAACATTCATTATACTTATACTGACGGCGTCATTAGAAATAATTAAAAATAACTTTCTTTTTTAGGAACAGTTTATTTATTAACCATGCAATAATCAATTATTTGCAGTCCTCTAATATTACATAAACGAAAGTTGGAATAATATACTAAACATGTTTATATGATAGCTATGATGAAATAATTTAAGTTACCTCTTCATGGATAATATATACCTTATAATATTTTACAAGCAAAAATATTAGTGTTTTATTAATGCAAAATAAATTTTCAAAATAAAAAACAAAAGTGAAGATATAAAGCGACCGTGACAGGACTCGAACCTGCAATCTTCGGATCCGAAGTCCGACGCCTTATCCATTAGGCCACACGGTCATGTGAGTTGTTGACGAAATTTTATATAAAATACTAAGGTCTGACATTATACGTATTGATTTTTCCTGTTAAATGAGAAATCTAGGTTAAATATTAAAAGTAGGTTAATTTCATATACCTTCAGTTTTATTCAGCATACGGAAAGATTTTGTTCTTTCAAAAAGCGTTTTATTTTTTACTGAAGTGGAAATTAACACTCAATGTCCGTTTTTTAGACACAATAGTAAGACGATACATGCAAGATGAAGATTCAATTACAATAAAAAAAGTTATTTCAACACAATACTTGATTAATACAAACTTTGTATTACAAAGAACTGAAAATAGATTATCCATTAGAATAGAATAGAATAAGTTTTTATCCAATCACATGTAATTCTCCAATGAGAAACCAGTGGTAAAGTAAAAAATGTCTTTCAATAAAGTTATCTTTCAGCTTTCAGTAAATTAGAAAGCGATGGCAAGAGCCTTCTATAGGATCCAGAGGGTCGTTTCAATTTGAGTTTGTCAACTTGTGTAGGCAATCAGCAGAAAAGAGAAACGCAAGTCCGTACCGTTTCTTAAGAATAATGATTAAAATAATAACTTTTATATGTAATATCGACTTGTTAATGCTTAGGTAAAATTTTGTATTAGAATAAGATGATAGAAATGTCAATAAAGTTCTGTTTTAGAGATTAAATAGCGAAATAATGAGAAAATTAATAGTAGATTAAAGGTTTAATTCTGCTTAAAATTTTGTTTAAAGATTTGTTAAAAGTTTAAATTCTTAGATTAAACTGTTGTTCTTATGGTGAACTTTAAAATGTTATAGTTCTTAACTGTAACATTTTAAGGTTCACCATAAGAATTGTTTATAGAATAGTGATATTATGTCTTAAATTTTATTAATGCTTTATGTAATGAGAATGTTTAATTGTTTTTATGGTGTGTTTAATTTGTACGTTTTTAAAATAATACAGAAATACAGTTGTTTTAAGCTAATATTATGGGAAAAAAAGTTATGTGACAATATGTGGAAATGTGATAGTGAAAATTATCGGTTCATGGGGTTTTTCGCCTGGTTCTTACGGTTTAGCTCAGGACTATCTTAGTATGTTGATCAATTTTCAATTCGTTGTCTTGGTCTTGGTCTTAACTGACTAAGAAAAAATTTTTTAACCGATTGCGGATTAAAATCCGTAGAAACCAACAACGCCTTAGATAAGGCTACCAGGACCGGCCCATAGTAGTGGGCCGCGAAGATAGTCCGGGCAATAGGGGCATACCATGGCCCGAGACCTGCAGGGCCTAAGCAGTCCATGCGGACGACAACACTGAGCTCAATTCGTTCAGGACAGTTCGGAACCAGCTAAAGTTTCTACCTTTAAACTAATAAAGAAAACTAAATTAGGAAAAGTAGGTAAAGTGGTGAAAGTTGTGAAATTTCGGTTTCATATTTCCAAGGGGGCAGTTACGAATAAGTGGAAGAATATCTTTCTTTATATTAAAAAATCAATTTTTAATATAAGTTGTTTGTCAGTGTCGTTAAAACTCAATAACGCTTGGGCAGATTTTGAAGATTTTTTGTGCGTTTGGGTAGGTCCCTGGATGGTTTAGATTTACAACTAAACTTGATAGGTGGCGCTGTTGTCAAGATCCAGAAACCGTACGAAGCCGGGTCGAATCATAGTCATAGTCATTTATTCCAAAAACAATATACATTGTGTGGGAAAACTCAATTGTAACAAACAATATTAAATTTAATTAATTAACATTATACGTGTTTACTAAAAATGTCTATAACTTAATTATTAAATTAAATAATGCATGCAATATTATTTTTTACCAAAGTCAATATAATCATTCACTGAATGGAAACATTTTTCGAATAAAAAAGATTTTAACCTTTGTTTAAAAATTTTAACATTATTTATGGTTTTAGGTCATTAGGTAGCGGGTTTTAGAAAGGGAATGGGGTGCACAGATCAAGTCTTTTCCATGCGCATGATAGCGGAGAAGTTTTTGGCCAAAAACCAGAAAGTTTTTTGTGCGTTCATGGACTTGGAAAAGGCTTATGACAGAGTGGACAGGAATGTGTTATGGCAAACACTGAACTCATATGGGTTGAGCGCTGGTTTGATACAGGCATTAGGGTCTCTTTATAGGGACTCTAGTGCTTGTGTCAGGATCAATGGGGTCTACTCGGACTGGTTTGGCATCCAAAAAGGTGTCAGACAGGGCTGTGTAGCTTCCCCTTGGCTGTTCAACCTATTTATGGACCGGTGTTTGCAAACTTTGAAAGATGAAGAATGTGGTTTAAGAATGGGCGAGTTAACCGTCAAATGCCTTTTGTATGCCGATGATCAAGTCATATTTGCGTCATCAGCGGCTGAGTTGCAAATGATGGTTACATTAATGAACTGGGAATTAAAAGAAAGGGGAATGAAAGTGAACGCAAGTAAGACGAAAGTGATGGTTTTTGAAAGAGAAGAAAGCAAAACGGTATGTGAAATAAGAATAGAAGGAGAGTTAATTGAGCAAGTGGATGAGTTTGTGTATTTGGGATGTGTATTTAGCAGGGATGGTAGATATGATAGGGATATAGAACGACGAGTAAATGCAGGGAATAGAGTGAATGGGGCACTACACTCTATTATGAAGAACCAGAATGTGTCAAAACAGGCACGTATGGTAATTCATAATGCTGTGTTAGTCCCTACGTTAACGTATGGTAGTGAAAGCTGGGTATGGCAGAAGAAGCACGAAAGTAGAATAAATGCTGTAGAAATGCGTTCTTTAAGAAATATGCTAGGGTTTAATCTGAATGACAGGGTGAGAAATTGCGTGATAAGAGATAAATGTGGTATGCAAGATGATGTTATGACCAGGATTAAGAAAGGAATGCTTCGGTGGTTTGGTCACGTAGAAAGAATGAATGATGAAAGAGTGACAAAGCAAATTTATATGGCAGATGTGAACGGCCGAGTCGGGAAGGGACGCCCTAGAAAAAAGTTTGTCGACCAAATTGGCGATATTTTGAAAATGGGCCACGTTAGAAGTACCCTTAACCGACGAGCATGTATGCGTAGATATATGGATGTAAAGGAGGCGAAAGAGGTATGTCAGGATCGTGCCAAATGGAAGTCCGTAATCTCTGCCTACCCCTCTGGGTGACAGGCGTGAGTGTTTATGTTATGTCATTAGGTAGTCTATTAAAAAGTTTTACAGCTTGATTTCTAACGCTATGCTCAACAACCTGTAGTTTTGTTTCTTCTTGCCATTTCATCGTCAGTTTCATATCTATTCGGATGTTTGACAAGATCAGTGAGTAAAGTAAGAATATACAAACAGGGCACAGTGAGGATTTTCAAATTTATAAAATGTTCTCTGCATGATTGCCTCTGGTGTATGCGAGATATTATTCTAATTGCTCTTTTTTGTAGAATAAACGCTATTTTTACATTATAGGCATAACTATTTCCCCAAAACTTAATACTGTATCTTAAGCGAGATTCTATTAGAGCATAATTTACAATTTTTAATTGTTTCATGGTTAGTTCTTCCCTCAAGCTTCTCAAAGCATGGCATGCAGAGCTGATTTTGCTCTCTATATTATTTAATTCATCTTTCCATGTTAAATACGAGTCTATAAAAACACCTAAGAATTTCACAGATTGTACAAGTGGTATGCAGTTTTCATGTAATCTGATGTTCAAGGTATCTCGCGTTTTCGCTGTGGTTTTGAATAGTATAGCTTTAGTTTTTTCTGCATTCAGCATAAGATTATTTGCATTAAACCACAGAGAAAACGTTAAAAGAGCTCTATTTAGTCTATGGTTGAGATCATTTGTATTCTGTGCCGATATTACCGCATTTGTATCATCCGCAAAGGCCACAATATGAACTTCCGGTAGAGAGTTATACATAAAGGGGATCAAATCATTTATAAATACGATGACGAAGATTGGTCCCAAAATGGAACCTTGTGGCACTCCTCTATAAATTTTATCTAATTTAGATTTATACGTCTTTTCAATATTATCCTCGATACACTTCAGTTCAACATATTGCTGTATTGCGGGATAATGATTCTGTCCTATTCTATTTTGTTAACTATCAGCTTTGATAGAGCTTCAGACAACTTTCGTATCAAAAGCCAATAAGCAAAGAATGAATAAAGAGTAAAAGGGTCAGTAGACTCACGAGTAGTGCCTCGGGCGCTGCAGAGAGCGCGTGTCGTGGTAGAGCTGCGTGCTATCTCGGTGCCGACGTACTGGCCCAGTGCCGGGCGTGGGGGCGGGCGGCGGCGTGGGGCGCGACGCTCGCTGTCCAGCGCTGGGCCGCGGCGGCGGCGGGCTGCGGGGGCGTGTGACCGCGGCCCGGGGACGAGACAGTGTGGACAGCGTGCCCGGGGCCTTATCCCCGTTCGAGAACGGCTCGAACGCGAAGTTCGTGTTCGCGCCCGTGTATTCTTTCCACGCGCTGCTGGGAATCAACTGCTCCTGAAAATATAAAATATTCAATAGGTGATACAACCATACTACAACTATATTAGTAATATGGTTGTAAAACGATTGAGTCGACTTGACCGGGGAAAGACAACCTTATCACAGAATACCAGCGTAAAATAGCTACTTAACGCTGCTGTTTTTCGCATGGTAAGTGTGTAGTGTGAGAACTGGAGAAACTTTTTGCTGGAAACGACACATTCCATCTTAGTCCTCAAGGGTGACAACGCATCCGCATTTTGATACGTCTTTAAGGATAGATGTAGATGTCTATGAGCCACAGCAACCACTTACCATTAGGTAAACTGTGTAGTCGTTTGTCACCCTAGGATAGGGTGACAAATAAAAAAAAATTATAACCCAACACATCAAACATACAAAAATAGATGAGGTTTTCTCTAAAATCTAAATTGAAATGCTTCATTAATTACATTGCCTCCCCAAACAATACGTAATGTAAAATGGTGGAATCTATCACCCTATTTCATTCTTACACACAACACAAAATTTGTCGTTTTCCAAAGATAAGAAACCCAAAAATTGAAAAACAACGTTTTACAACTCATTAAATATAAAAATCAACTTGCAACACATACAGCTAACAACACGAATGAGTTCTCTTACTCGACTACGTAAAGAATACGCTCCCACGATATACAGGCATAAAATAGCAGGTCAATGCTGTTAAATTTCATGTGATGAATATAAAGAACCTAAGACTCTTCCCTACATAGTATAAAACAGTGATTTTCAACCTTACGCTTAGAGTTTTTAAACTACGCAATAAATTTTGATGACGCATTCATCAATAGATGGAATGATTCAAGAGCAAGATTTATAAGTACGTACATTTATTTACGAGTTTTTTTTTCTCCCGCCATGTCTACTAAGTTGCAAATACACGCCGCGCGCATATAGATATATACACGCACATGACCACCTAGAGCAACCTAGAGCGAACGGTTACGAAGGACGATCTTTCTCAGATGAGAAAGATTAACTCTATTATCTAGAAGTTAGTGCTGTTAATCGACTCTTACAGCTTAATCTTGTCTCAGGCCTTGCAGGCCGCGAGCAATAAAAGGGAAAGGCAATAGGTATGATGATGAGATGGTTTATAATTTGATATTGTACCAATCATCATGTCGCCTAGGCGTTTCCTCAACCCTCCAGGAGGTGTGCGACCCCCGTCTCTGACTGCTCAGCTCGTGTCGGTCGATGTTCTGGGCGGTGAGAACCGTCCAAGAACGGGTGTACTGTGTACGCGGTGTGAGCTGGAACGCGTCGTGCCCGTCTGGGGTGCGACGGTCCATTCGTTGTCCTATTAATGTTTGTCCCATTTAGTGTGGGTGTAGTGTCGTTGTGTGATATGCCTGCGACGTTTGGGTCGACTGGATCGAGCGGTTACTGGATCGAGCGGTTGAGAAAGATTAACCGCCGAATCCGTAAAGCGTACGCCCTTGACGTTTAAGGGCGTAGCCGACATCCATGGCGGTGACGGTTTTCCTCTTCGCGTGCTCAGTGTATGTGACCGCGTCACGAATCACGTTTTCAAGGAACACCTTGAGTACACCGCGTGTCTCCTCGTAGATTAACCCCTGCGAGCGAAACGTCGGATAGCCGGTTTGGTGATACCCTGGATGTTATCACGGAGAACCTTTCTATGCCGCTTCGCTCCACCTTTCCCTAAACCTTTACCACCTTTACCGCGACCGGTCATGTTCGCTTAGAGCCAAACACACACACAAAATGTACAAGAAACTTGACGTACGTTACGAACGCGCGACAACTCGTAAATCTCGATTACATGCCGTGGCCAAGATCGAAAAGTCATCCGTATGAGGCCGGGGCGATCGTTAGTTTTCCTACGAACGAGACGTTCCATTTTTCTCTCAGTAACGTGAACTATCTATAGACCACAAAATTCAGTGCATGCTCGTTAGTCAACCTGGTTCTATCTATCTGTGAGTTTTGAACAATTCTTCATTATTTTTTACCTACCTATATCTACTCCATATGTATATTATGGTTGCAGTACGAATGGTAGCCGTATAGTGATGAGTAAGAATATCCACTACCCCAGCAGCGAGCACACGCACGCCACCACCACGTGCAGCTTGCCCGCACCCCCCAGCCCCCAGCCTTAGTGTAGTGTGTGTGTACCTTGCGGTTGGTGCGCGCTCGTGCGGCGGCCAGCGTGCAGGCAGCCTGCAGCGCGGCCAGCAGCAGCAGCGCGCACACGCACGCCACCACCACGTGCAGCTTGCCCGCACCCCCCCAGCCCCACCATCCTCCTACACCTGCCTCCTGCACCACCGGCCGCGTAGATACCACTGTAACAAAAAACAAATAACATTGTTAGTATTGAACAGTTGTTCGACGCGACTTCGCCCACGTGTAATTTTAGGTTCAAAAGAGCCACCTGTATCCATCGAATTCATGCTTGTCTTACCAGATCTATATTCCATCTAGCGGGGGGACACCCTAAACTTTACCTGCCGCTACGAGGTTGTCACTCGAGAACCTTTTTTCGCCATCGGTTATCGGTTTTTCGAGCTATGTTGCCGACCCATTGCCACTTTAGTTTAGTAATCCGTTGAGCTATGTCGGTTACTCTGGTTCTCCTGTGGATATCCTCATTTATAAGTTTATCACGCAGAGAAACTTTGCACATAGCCCTGTCCATAGCTCGCTGAGCGACTTTGAGCTTCCTCATACGGCAGGCAGTAAAGGACCACTTCTCAGGTCCATAGGTTATTAATGGCAACACGCACTGGTTGTACAGTCTAGTTTTAAGATTTTGAGTACACCTAAATATTTCCAATCTCCCGAACGCTGCCCAGCCGAGTTGAATCCGTCCGACCTCCGGTCAAGTTACCTGGACATTTCCCAGGTAAACACACTCGTCCACAAATTCGAGTTTGGTGCTCCCTACAACCACCATCATATGTGTGCCATGGACATTAAAGATGACTATCGTTTTGTCTATGTTTATTTTAAGACCTATCTGTTGGGAGACACTATTGAGCTCATTGAGCATAGTGCTTAGGTCCTCCAGCGATTTTGCCATAAGGGTTATATCGTGGGCAAATCGAAGATGAGTGATATACTCGCCATTGACGTTAATATCGAATCCTTTCCAGTCGAGTAGCTTGAAAACTTCTTCCAATGCAGTGGTGAAGAGTTTCGGAGATATTAAGTCACCCTGTCTTACATCTCAATAGTGTCTCACCTCTCTGCAGTTGGATAGGTTTCGTACTCCGGTTCTGTACTCGGATGGCCATCGTAGCTCTACCGTACAAACACTTCAGCAATTCGATATACCGACAGTTCACTTGGCACCGTTGAAGGTACTGCAGCACTGCCCAAATTTTGACGGAATCAAAGGCTTTCTCATAGTCCACAAACGCAAGACAAAGTGGTAGATTTGTACTCTGCGGACTTCTGTGCAATTTGCCGAAGGGTATCTATGTGGTCTATGGTACTAAAACCTATTCGGAAACCGACTTGTTCAGGAGGCTGGAAGTCATCGAATCTGGGTGCGACATGATTCGTAATGACTCTCGAAAACAAAACGTAAAGGAACACGTAGGAAATCGGAATGTAGATCTTCAAGAGAGCGTTGTCGCGTTTCTTAAAAAACAAGATCACCTCACTTCTTCTCAACGACTCCAGAGTAGTGCCACCATGGATGACTGAATTGAAGAGCTTCTGAAGGACTTTAAGTATCGGTTTTCCACCCGCTTTCAGAAGGTCCCCTGTAATTCCAGTCTCGTTCGGGGACTTGCCGTTTTTAAGATGCTGGAGAGCCATTCTAATCTTGCTCAGACTGACGTCCGGGATATCATCGGAATAGTATCGGACAAGACTTGCTCTTGCATTGTTACTCCCATTTGCGTGTGGCTCCAACGATGACGTGTACAGCTGCTCATAGAACCTCTCAATCTCACTCAGAATCTCAGATGTCCCGGAAACGATGCTGCCACATTCGGTCTTCAGCTTCGATAGTTGGCTCTTTTTGGCAGATAGATCCTCTGGGAAAGACTTTGGAGCCCTGGTTCCGCCCAATCGCTTCTTCAATACAAGCTCTATTAAAGTTGAGTAAGTCCCGTCGCATGCATTTGGTTCAGTTACCTGTATGCTGTCAAATCTGCTGACGACTGCAGCTTCATCTCCCGTCTAACAGCCCTGAGATTGAGAAGAGTCCGATAGGAGAATTTTTGTGTTCTTCTGCGACGCGTCTTACAGAACTTAGCTCCGACCGCATGGACAGTTTCTACAAGCTTGTCATTTATATCGCCCACTTATTGCAGTCTTCTAGGCACTAAAAACGATTTTAAACGCGAGCTGAAAGTTTTAGCAGCTTTGGATTAGAGCACGAGGGGGACGGAGCGTTGACTTCATTTGACGTGACCTCTTGAACTTCACGTTAGTAAAAGTTACTTAGTAAAGATCCGAATGATTGGGAGGTTCTAGCCCCGGGCCACTTCCTGATTGGCCAGCCGCTTAACGCCCTGCCCGAGTACCCCTTCAGGGAAACAAACCCTTCGCGGTTGGGCAGATTTGACCTGCTGCAACAAATGACTCAGAGTTTTGGCACCGATGGTCTCTGGAGTACCTACATCTTTTGCAGCAGCGCGTTAAGTGGTCTGACAGGACGGATCCTCCTCTGGAGGAGGATCTTGTACCTTTCACCATTCGCTGCCAGTTTTCACCCTCGCGATAAATATGACATCACTGAACAGTTATCGTCTGGTCGTCATAATGAAGTCATTCTCATTTTTTGTCGAACCGTCGGAGCTCGGCCAGGTCTACTATCTGTGGGGCCGCTTTTTTAAGAAAGGGTTCATTGTAAAGAATCCCTCTTTCTCCATAAAGGCGGGCAGCTGCTGGCCCCTTGGGTTTCGTTGCCCTATTCCGAATTTCCCTACTTTCAGCTCACCGTTCTCTCTTGTGCCTAATTTTGCGTTGAAGGCTCCCATTAACACCGTATAGTGGATTTTGGAGGAATGCATGAACCTAGAGATATTCTCATACATTTCCTCCACCTCCTCATCGGGATATGCCGCGGTTGGTGCGTAAACCTGTATGGTCTTTAGCAAATACCGTTTAGTAATTCTGAGTACGTACCATAAGCACCTTATGAAACACAACTCTCGTCGACACACTCCCACACTTTACAACGTTGTTAACGAGAGACTTGTGGACGATAAATGCGAAAGCACCTTGGGACAGATGGTCGCCTTCCCGATGATAGAACAAGTCGCCAGATTCCAGGATTATCTTGTCTTCTCCCTCTCGTCGGACCTCACATAATCCCATAATATCCCAACGCAACTTGTCTATCTCTTCTTCCAGATCGAGAGCTTCTCGTCAGTTCTCAGGGTATGTACGTTATATGTTGGCAGGTCGAGTCGTCTCAGGTGGCAACCGAACCTCCACCGGAGATTCTTAGCACCTCCTGCCCCACCGTTACCTTGGTCGCCACCGTAGCCAGGAAGCCGGAGCCGTCGAGGACTGGGGGGGGGGGCTGTTTATTTGTGTTGTTGCTCATCAGAAGAAGTAACTAAGTCTTACTACGTTTTATTTTAGAAAAATAATTAAGGTTTCCCAAAACATTAAAACCCATGATATCAATAGATATAAATTCCTCGCGTGCGAAGCCACGATGGCAGCTAGTATAAATATAAACTTATATTTTAACTAAACTTATAGAAACTTCTATAATTTGATAAAATACTTACAACTTAGCGGCTCGAACGACAGGAACAGTGGATCAACATTCAGGTTCCCAACTCTGCCTTGTATTATCGTGTCCTTCACTATTCTCTCCCACTTCTCTTTATCGCTCTCCTCTTCTAACGTACTGTTAGAGACGGGTACAGCGCTATCTAGTGATCGGCTCGACTCCTCCAAGGAGTTAGAGTCAATAGACCTCAGTGTCAGCTCTGCGATTATCGCTTGAGTTTCATTTCTGAAAAATAACAACGAACATTAATTTATTGTTACGAGCTTGGGGTTCGTGACAATAAAAACTGCAGATTGAATTACCAAAATTGACACTTTAATTACAGAACACTAATTAAAACTTAAACCCACACTAATAACAAAAGACAGTTGTACTACTGATCACTTTAGTTCTCAGTTGTATGTAGACTAATCAGAAGAGTAATCGAGAATAATAAGAAATCTCTAGAAGGATCTTGACTCTCCTACTTCTGCTACTCTAACTAGAAGGCGCTAGTGGTAACTTATGTATATATGCATTAATGGCGCACAACATTATAAACAAAACATAAAAGTGTGATAAATCACACCCCTGATCCACGCAAACATATATTTACTCTTTATAAAGTCCATTCGTGCAAGGAATATTGTTGCCATATATAGACTTGTACCGGGAAATGCTACCTAGCAGCAGCTTTAGACTGTAAAGGCGTGCTATGAGGCTCACTGGTAATCATTTATCAGGTTTTTCTGACAAAAAATTGTCAGTAACAGCCCGGGGCTCGGAGATTGGCGGTGTTTCACCCTTGTGCCTCGGAAAGTCGTAAAGAAGTTGGTTCTGCGCCAGTACCATCTCTCTCTTTGGTCTTGCCGGATTGCCGTCGCATCGAACTAGAAGTGTGAGGGAATAGGGAGTGCACCTGCGCTTGTACATACACTCGTACACTGTAATCCTGTCCATTGCAGATGACTAGTCTGCCTTGAAACTGGCCGCCGTGACCAGGATTCGGTCTGGAGGACACTATTATTATTATTCGTGACCCGAATCTAGTTAAACTACTCCAGTGACGACTAACGCCGGTGTTCATCAGGGGTCCGTTCTCTCCGCAACTCTCTTCCTGCTGCATATAAATGATTTGCTTATGCCCGATATCTATGGGTACGCAGACGACAGCTCAGTTGTGGAGAGATACCAACCAGGTCCTCAGGCCAGTCGGGATCAAATCCAGTCTGACAGAGAAGCTATGGTAGAGCGTGTGAATCTCACACTACAGGCAGTCTCCGAATGGGGCGATGCTAATCTTGTGAAATTCAACGCCTCCAAAACACAAGCGTGTCTCTTCACTGCAAAAAGGAGCCAGCTCACCTTGGCTCCTTCTTTCCGAAATGTATCACTGGAATACACCGACCGCCTCCAGTTGCTGGGGGTAGAGATATCCTCATATCTGAACTTCGTACGGTTCATTGAGTCCAAGGCCAAAGCGGCTGCAAGGAGGCTAGGAGTCCTTGCATAGGTGCGGCGATACTTCACGCCGGGACAGATGCTTACTTTATATAAAGCGCAAGTCCGGTCGTTCGTGGAGTATTGCTGCCATATATGAGCTGGTGCTGCAAAATGCCACCTAGCGGCCTTGGACTCAATGGAAAAGCGTGCTAAGAGGCTTAGTGGTGACCCGAATTTGGTTGAAACCAATCTTACCAGCCTCAAACACCGGCGCAAAGTAGCCAGCCTTTCTTCCATGTCTTCTACGCAGGATGCATTTCGCAGTGTGCGCAGGAATTGCGTAATTTAATTCCTCCCTCTCCCTTCCACCATCGGACAACCAGACGTTCGGCCAGTCTCCACCCTTTCGCTCTGGACTTACCACGCATTCGAACCTAATGGTTTGCTAGGTCGTTCGTCATGCGTACAGTAAAGGAGTGGAATAAGTTGCCAGCATCGGTCTTTCCATCCGATTACAGTGTGGGTGTTTTCAAGGCAAGAGTGAATAGGTTTTTGTTAAGTCAGTGTGCTTTACCACCCTAAGCTACATCACCACTTACCATCAGGTGGGATTGTAGCTAAGTGCTGGCTTAGAATAGTAAAAAAAAAAGCCAATCTTACCCGTCTCGAACACAAGACTTGACTTAATTCCTCCCTCTTTCTTTCACCATCGGACAACCAGTCTTCGCCCCTTCAATACACACATAAATTTCACAAGAACAAACATCAGATCAGGAACAATTATTTGTAGGCTATACAAATACTTGTTCCGTGCGGAAGTCAAACCCGCAACCCTTAGCGCTTTTTTTATAGGAAAGAACCGGCCCCCCCCCCCCCGCAACTGAAGGCCGCCCCCCCAACACCACCCAAAAAAAAAAAAGAAAGGCCAAAACACCACCAAAAAAAAAATTCAACTCATTGCTAAGCCACTGCGCTACGAAGTCGACATTAGTAGTATTCTTTAAAAAAAAATACTTACTGCATAAATCCATTAACAGCCAGTCCCTTGTATCCTTTAGTTCTGCTCAGCTCCTGTCCTAAGACATCGACCACTTGTTTACTAAGCTCCTCGAATTCCTTACTGCCGACTGCCGGAGGTTTGAAGCTGTCTGCCAACCCAGTTATGCGAATGAGCATTGTGTATGCGACCTCTCCCGGGGCGACCGCTTCTGTTGTCATCTCTTCTTCAACTGGTTCTGAAAGTTATAATAATGGATTTAGTGTGGACGTGTGGCGGCGCTGTCATCGCCGTCGTCGTAAATCACGCTATCAAAGTTCCGAAGTACTGCGGCATATATAGAATAGCTCTGTACTATTGAGTCCGATGCAGCTGTAAAATTCAAAACTACTAACATCACAGGAACTAGATATGTATTACCACACGCACGAGGTTTATTACACCTCTCTGATAGTAGTTCAAGGTTCAAGCCAAGTTTCGTAGCAAGCTTCTTCCTAGCTTCTTCTGAGGGACCACCGAATCACGTCCCTCCCCCCCTCCCCCCTCACTCCGATAGTAGGGGCTGGAGCGTTTCGGGACTGCAGTCGGCGCACTGCAATAGCTCGTGTCCTATGTCGTCGTATCGTGTCTATACCGGTGAAGTTGTAACGGCAGTAGAGAAAACACACAGAGCGTTAGCTACTCCTCGAGCTGATCACCTAACCTGGCACGAGATCTCTTCTCCTTCCTTATCAGACGACGAAAATATTGACAATTGAGAAAGAGAATCCCCTACATCTACGACCATACCACGCATGGGTGTCGTAAAAGGCAACAGAGTTAAGTTAAGGTTAAGAAGGAAGTTACCAAGGTTACCAAGTTTTTTGCCATGAATGGTCACTTATAGCTAATATTCCCCCTATGACACAATCTATGTGGGAGGCCTAAGTTCAGAAGTGGACATTCGATAAGCGCTAATGGAAGAAATAAGTTATTTATATAGGAAGATTGCCACAGTCACGTTGTCACCTGCAAGGACTTAGATGAAATGCTTCAAAGCCCGTAATAATCCTGGCTCTCTGCTAATCATGGTGAGTTAAGTGTTACATTTGGTGTTAATTTAAAATATTATATAGGATATGTTCCGAAACGTTTTCAGTATACTGCCGAATACAAATGACGTCATCAATTGACACTATATTGTACTGGCGTGCCGCCGCCATATTGTGTCGGATATCCGGCCATAATAAAACAATTTTTTATTGTGTGTGCGCTGAATGAAGAACAGAATTTGTTTTTATTAATTCAAATACAAAAAGTTATAGAATAATTGCTGGTATCTCCATTAGGAGGATATAATGATTTTTGGAGCACAAAATGACAAAATAATCGCCAACACTTTTTCAATATGGCGCAAATGTATGACGTCATATACTGTCCTATGTTTTGGAACGAATCACCAGTATAGCGTCGATTCATGACGTCTTTTGCATTGGACAGTACACTGGGTTCTATTTTAGAACATACCCATAATGTCCTCCAGACCGAATTTTCGGTCACGGCGCCAGCCTCAGCGGAGACTAGCCATCGGCGCAGGACGGAATTATAGTGCCCAAGAGTATGCGCTCTCTATTCCAATCACTCTCATAATCCGATGGGACGGTAAACAGACACGACCAGAAAGAAATCACGCGCAGGACCAACGGCTTTACGTGCTTTCCGAGGCACGGGGGTGAGAAACGTTACTGTGACGAAAAGTTACTGTGAATTTCTTGACGATGCGAACCCAGGACCTCATAATCAGCAGTCGCACTACTATAACCACTCGACCAACGAAGTAGTCAAAAAAATGATATATCTCACAACTTAACCACTCTTTTCGGGTATTATAATAATAGGTCAGTGACTTACATAACTGATACATCTGTAATGATTTCTTATGTTTACGAGAACACTACATATTGATTAAAAGTATTTTTACGGATTTTATCGCGTTTAATTTATTTTATTTTTAATACCCGACGTTTCGGGTGCTTTCCAGCACCCATGGTCACGGAGGACTGAGGTGACTGACGTCCCAATGTCAGTGTTGCTACTGACTACCTTCAGCTTTTTAATTATTATTTATGATCCGATCTACGCAGAATGAACTTACCATCAGACAAAGTAACTTCAGTTCACAATTTTACCATAAACTCTAAATTTCAAATTACTATGAAGTTAAGAGGCAAATAATTCCTTAGCTTTCCTAGACGTGACTTCACCCGAAACGTCGGGAATTAAAAATTAAATTAAATCCGCACAACTAGTTTTAATCAAGGCATGTATACATCTGTGTTCAGACAAGAAAATCAGAGCACGCTCTGCTATTTGACGGAAGAAACAGATAAGACAATCCTACCACCTAGTACCCGTATTCATTTCATAACAACCTATTTGAAACCATAAGCTATTATAAATAGAATCTAAAATAGAATTATTTTGCGGTAATTCATTATATCAAAAATGTTAAAATTATGTAGCTAAGATCCGCGAATCTTACCGTCGACGGAAAGATCCGCGTCTTTGATAGTACGGAGGGGTTCCACACTTGAACATTACAGCAGCTTGTGCAGGCGTTACTTTGCGAAATTCTATTATATAACCGTTACCGATACCGCCTATTAGTCCACTGCTCAACATAGGCCTCCCCCATAGAATGCCTCATAGAGGAGATATTTGCCTATTATATATTTAGGAATTAGCCATAGTCACCTCTTACGAAACCCATGAAACTCCATGGGGTAATGAGTTCTAGTACACAAGTTTTAAGTTACAATCACTAAACGGCACTTACAAGGTAAGTTACTCACCCGGACCGCAAGGTTTAATGCAGACTCTTTCTTCGGTAACGAAAGGCACTTGTTGATGTTTGCTCATCCGTTTGTTGACGGGATCGAACCCACCACCTTGCGTTACGAACATTATATACAGGCATTGTGTATCCGTGAACGCGAGATCCTGAAAAATTATTTATTACATCAATTCATATAGGGGCACTTGCTTATTGCTAACTGGTTTAGGCGCCATCTTTGTGGGTAATTATGCATGTATTGTTAAATCTCAATCAAACTAATTAAATACTCTTGTTTTTTTTGCAATGGGCTCGTACGAATGTACATTTGCCAGTGTCGAGTATTAAAAAACATGACAGTTCACACGCGATAGAACTGAAACTTTCAGAAAACTATACTTCGAGAGAGTGAGACGAATGCACAGTATCAGGACTAAGATAATTTACAATAAATTAAAAACTGTAATATAATGTATTCTATCTCATTCTCGCGCAGGGTAACTCATATGGATGTTCGTCTCTTTTTAGTGTCGCTTCTTAGTTTCCTCGAGTTTCAAATCGTATAATTATGATGCGTCACATTGACGATGTTTTTGAGTGAATTTAACGGCAGCTTGAGGCAGCAGACAGTCGCTGACAACAGTATCTCAAGGCGCCTAAGCAGACATTATCTTGAGGTTCACACCACCACAGGAGCACTTGCTTCATCGTTTTCACTAGTAGATCACATACGCAGACGCTTAATACACAAAATCACATCGATTTTATGTATCAAATACACTTGAAACCACGAATTAAACAATAAGCAGCTATCCGTCAGCGATCAAGTTCCGCAAATATAAGACAATACTCTATTTATTTAGTTATGTGTTATGAATATTGTTACGAGCTTCACGTAACAAACAATGCTTGTAACAAACAAAGTTTGTATATGGATGTATATGGATGTAAAGGAGACGAGAGAGGTGCGTCAGGATCGTGCTAAATGGAAGTCCGTAGTCTCTGCCTAACCCTCTAGCTGACAGACGTGAGTGTTTTATATTAAATATACAATATAGTAGCTGATTTGTTAACCACTGTAGATTTTCATGTTCATAAGAACTTTCAAGAAACCTTCATTGAATAAAAAAGTTCTTACTTCGTTCAGAACATTTTACCTGTGTATCTCCCGTATCCCTCTTCCTCACAAAAGTAATTGTAGTGTACCCATCCTCCAAACTAACGGTTTGCTTGCTGATGTCCTGTCTGGAGTCCAACTTGGGCATGGAGTATCCGCTTAGCCAAGCGTCCGTTACGAACGGACGTCCGGATCGAGGATCCACCCAACCAATCACAGCATCCGTTTGCGACTGCCACCAAAAGACAGGTTGATAATTAATTATAACAAAGTAGGAACAGGAATAGATGTGGATGTCTATGGGTCACAGCATCCACATACCATCAGGTAAACTGAAAAGGTGTGCTCGTTTGTCACTATTGGTTCATAAAAAATTCTTAATTATTTATATTTTAACGCACACAATATGGCGAACTTAATGCCAAAGGGTATTCTCTATTCTCTCCCAGTTAACCATTAGACTAAACAGATATAAACATTTAACAGTAAGAGGCTGTGTGGAGTAACAAAGATTAAAAAAGAGAAGGAGAAAAATTAAATTATATACAATACACATAAATTATATACAACGTGAAATTATATTATATACATATTAAGATATACATACATACATAATTATGTTCATACATATACTTATAATATCGACTTAAATACGTTCATTATATAGATATATGAAAAATATATGAAAATAAGAGCTGTGTTAGTTCAAACTTGCAACGATTTTTTGACATTTATTTTTTACTAACAAACTTGTTAGAAGCATTTGATACACCCAAAAGTTAAACATTTTACAAAACTTACCATCTTCTTATTATTGCTAAAGCCGATGCCTGACCAAAGCTTGCTGTATTTGGTCTTAATGGTGAACTTAACGGAGTCCTTGCCACGTTTAAGACCGAGGTACTCCCAGGAGGCGTGGTAGTCGCATGTGTTGTTCTTGTGGTCACAGTCCGCTGGCAGCTTCCACTGACCACCGCATTTGTCCCCCTCTAAAGGCAGGAGTCCTCCCATAGACGATGATTTCGTTTCCTCTGGAATTGATGTTAAAATAAACATTTACTTTTACATATTTATGTGATAGAGCTACACTGCAGCTATATTATGGTTGTAGCACGAATGGGTCGGCTCGACCCGGATAGCACCACGCTCTCACAGAATATGTCGTATGGTGAGTGTAGAGAACCGGGTACCCTTTCTACTGGAAACGAGGCATTTCATCTTCTTTGTCAGGGATAACAAATATTCACCACGTTAACCAGGCAGATTGGTATCTTAATAGAAGGTAGGTAGATGTAGATGGACGCCTAGACACAAAAGGAGCCGTACCACCTAGAAACGAAAATCAAAAGTGAAACTCACCGAAGAAGTTGATCGTCGTGACACCCCTCTGCCCATGTCCGTGATATTTAAGTTCGTCCGGCCTGTAAAAGTCGCCTTTTGGAGACTTTTCTTGGCCATGTGCCCATATTACATGCATGAGGTCATCTACTAGTGAGTGATCAGTCGGTTCCTTGGCCTAGAAATATTTTAGATAACATTCAAATTCAACCAAATCAAGTGCCAATATTCGACAAGAAATCTGCTTTATTTAAATCTATAAATCACGAAGAAAACAACTGTCAAAATTCTATCTATGATTTCAAAGATATTATACACAATCGATCTTATCAAGGTATTACTTTAATGATAAAATAATTTTAGTGTAGACTGTCAAAGGGAACATTTTTGGGTCCACTTTTATATACAATGGATAATAAAATAGTCGTTTTGGAAAGTACAATTGAAATAGATCCGATGTCAAAAATATACTGATACTGAGGTCGGTAAGATCTTTGGAGGATGTCTAAAATCTATATAATCTAAAATCAAGTGCCAAAGTAGCTTTTGCATTTTGACCAGTCAAGCAGTCTGAGTTTGAGCAGTCGACCAAGAAAATAATCACAAAGTATTTCGTCATCAACATGTTTGTAAATATTCTTCCGTTCAAAATTTTCAGTCAAAACCAACTAATCACGATCAAAACGGTGAACGGTGATGCAGGTTTTGAAGCAACTTCATTAGCGATTAGAACGAAGTATATCGATCTGTGTAAACCTTACTTTACTTTTTCCTTTGCGTACCTTAATTTTTCTTCTGAACATGATAGTTGTGACGCCATTCTCTTCGAATCCCGAAGCCGCCGTTACATCATCGTGACCGCCCCAGAAGGTATCCACTCTGGGAGTTGATCTACAAAATGAAGACAATAACACAGATAATAATTATAACGCATTATAACGCCGCTTAGTAAAAAAATATGTGACAAATATGGCCATATTTTACAAAGATCAGTTTGACTATTCGGAGACTAGACAGTTGCGTGATGAAACTAGTCAGAATTCGAATAGTCTACTGTAGACAAGAGTAGACTTTCTTTAGAATTCAACGAAACGGAGAGCAATACTATGTCGAATATGGTTTATTACCAAGGATTATTTAATGTTATTAATATTAGTATTAAAATAATTTTACCTGTCTCTCGTATAGTAGTCTAGAACTCGATGGTAGTTCCCTCGAGCTGTCCCAATGACCAAGTCGGTACAGTCCATGCCATTAAAATCGAATTTAGGCGAATATTCGTGATCTGGGAAGTATCCTAAAACGTATGCAACACAACATTATTGTAGGTATAATATATATCGAAATCTTATCTCTTTCACCTTCATTGAATTATAAATTTAAGAGATATTAGCCAATACAATGTACAATTTGTTCTCTAAAGTTTTACATAAAAACACTTAACATGATTTGAGTACCCATAATGGTAAACTAAAACATCATGAAATTCTGCGACCTGGCAAATAAACAAGCTCAAGAGTTAAAACGAAATAGTTATTTAAAAATCCGACTACATAAACGTAACCAATTACTAATAAGAGATAATAGATAATTTTATACCCGATTCCCACAACTAATACGAGTCTATCGAATCCTAAAATCTATCAAACCGTGTAAGCTACAGGTCGTGTCTCCAAATTCCTTCTGAACAGGTGAAAAAAATAATATTTATATACCTTGTGAACACGCAAGATAGTAGCATCCTTGTAGAAGTCTTTTCTTATTACTTAACAATAAAAAATAAAATAAAACCTATCTATCGTTTTCCTGCTTTTAATTACACATTTACAATTAACCTTAACTTTTAATAGTTAAATAGATTTTATTATACAAGTACATTAATAATTAGTTGAATCAGAAAAGAAAATTAAAAGAGGAGAAAATTAGAAGTCATTATACACAGAAAGTAGACGTAGAGGAAAATAAAAGGAGAAGAGGAAAGAAGGAGAACAGAAGACAGCTGGGACCTGAAAGAGCGCAAACAAGCACATTAAAAGTAGAAGCTTCTAGAAATAGCAATTGCCTCACCTCACCCTAGGGTTATGCGGTATTGTGTGTTATAAAGCGACGTATGAAAACCGCCATAGTACTTCGTACAGATAATATAAATTAATGATTAATTAATATAAGATAATTATATATTCTGTTAGTGAAGTTAGTTTCAAAACAACTGTTATATAAGTTATATATTTGTTTGTATGTTATTATACGTTATTTTATTTTTCATCGTAGGTATTAAACACAGAAATAGTAATAATAAGACAATAGAAATGAATTAGCGCTCGATTACTTCCAATTCCCTTCCAAGTCCCTTATTCCTAAGACGCCATCTCGTGTCATGTAATATAAATTATGAAATTAATATGTTCAGATGCGACATTTCTGTGGGTACTTAAGTATAGGACGAATATATTATTATACACATTTTTTTGTAGAAACATATATGAGTTATCATAATTAGGCCAATTTTTTTATATTTAAATCTGCTCATTATTCTTTTATATTATTTATAGGTTTCCACATCAAAGTCAAAGTGGAATAAATTCGTCCATTTTTAACTCTCGCGTGCCCAGCATTTATGAACGACTCTTATTCTAATTTAAATAAATATATTTGTAATTTAAATTTTATATTAATAAGTTTTGTTAAACATACATTTAGTATGTTTTTTATATTTGCCATAGATATCTTTTAAAATATTCAGATAAAAATATCTGAATATATTCTAATTATATTAAATAAGCAAATATAATATACAAAATAAATGACAAAATTTGAATATTGTTCTCGATATAATTTACCTATTTAACAATACAATCTATTATTACCTACTGATCATTCTACCTATGTTTATTTTATGATAAAAAAAACCAACCGCGCGAACACAGAGTAGCGCACATATTTTGTTTGAAATAGCTGTTCTAGTACATAGGTACCATATTACTTCAATGTATAGGTATTATACTTTCTAAAAATATATTTAAAAATTTGAGTACTTCTAGAAAATGGTAATTGTTAACATTAAAGGCTTGACATAAAATTAGCGTTTTAAACTGATGAATAAGAACACGTTTTTTAGGAAAAAATATATTATTTAATAAAAGTGTTTGCTATTTCGAAGTAAGATCATTTTATGACTTTGCGATAGATGTCTAGGTATATGGACACTACAAAGACTATGAAGGCAAAATTTTTTCCTTGCAGGAAATTGCGGGAAAAAATGGTAGAGCATCATATGGTTTCTAACTACAGGTCTTGTAATGTTAAACGGTTTCTCAAGCAGTAGTAAAGTCTTATTTATTGGTTTATTTTATTATTTATTATTATTATTGTTTATTATATTATTTTGTGACCCCAAATTTTAATCACGAATCTTAGACAATTGTTTTAATTTTAATTCAAAATGGAAGCTCCATTAAAACGGCAACTTTATTATTTATACTTTATGGGGGTTAAAGTATACTTATTTATACTTTAACCCCCAGTATTTCCAAATATTTTTGAAGCTTTAATCGGTAAGCTGATTTCATGAAGGTCGCTTCCGATGCGTGCAAAGTATTATGAACATTGCGACGTTGTAACTAGGTTTAAGCTCGCAAGTTTACTATCAGAAAGTGATCCTTCTGTTCTTGTAACTATTATTCATTCTGTGGTTATACGTACATATAAATATTTATAGAGTTATGAAAATATATATACATAATATACATGCGAAGCATATATATGCAAAGCTGGCACAATACCTGATTCTTCTTTGAGTCCCTTCACTAGCAGGCTCTCCACCTCCCCTTCCGTGGTAGGTTCTGGTTCAGATTCGGGTTCGGGAGCGGATTCTGGCTCGGAAGTTGGTTCTGGGAAGGATTCTGGTTCTGATTTAGGTTCTGGTAAAGGTTCCGGTTCGGATTTAGGTTCCGGAGATGGTTCAGGTTCTGATTTAGGTTCTGGGGATGGTTCAGGTTCAGATTTAGGTTCCGGAGAGGGTTCTGGTTCTGATTTAGATTCTGGTGAAGGTTCCGGTTCAGATTTAGGTTCAGAGGACGGTTCCGGTTCAGATTTGGGTTCTGAGGAAGGTTCAGGTTCAGATTTAGGTTCAATGGAAGGTTCCGGTTCAGGTTCAGATTTAGGTTCAGGGGAAGGTTCCGGTTCGGATTTGGGTTCTGGGGAAGGTTCTGGTTCTGATTTCGGTTCGGCTGTGGGTTCAGGTTCTGGCTCAGATTTTGGTTCTGGAGTTGGTTCAGGAGTCGATTCGAATGTTCGTTGTGGAGCCACTTTGGGTCCAACCGATACTGGTCTATTATTTAATTGTGAGAGTTGCTTGGATTTGGGAACGAATTTGGACCTAGTTTTCGGTTTGGGAGAAATCTTTGGTTCAAACTTTGATTCTACAGTCGGTTCCGGTTCGGAACTCGGTTCCGGTTCGGAACTTGGTTCCGGTTCTGGGGTAGATATGGGTTCGGGTTTTGGAGAATTCTGAGATTTTGTCGTATCGGTATCTGCAAAAATAACGCACCATGCAGAAATTATATTTACATTAGTTCAATTTGCAGTGTCAAGTTAGTCTTGAAGACAATAAGGGTGAATATTGTGTGCCTCTGTGCTGGTTTCCTATTGCCTGTGTTTGTTTGTTAGCACGGGTGTGGTTATTTTGTGCTTTATGTGCATTTATATTGAATGGTACTTACGGTTTGGTTCCTGTGCGGCTCTCTTTTTTCTACCTGAAAATTGGACGTTTGTTTACACGGAGTGCTTAATTTGAGGCAAGATTAAATATAAATATGAAACATATTTTGATACTTCTAATCTAGGCGACGTGGACTATACGCAAAAGGCCTCAAGACTTTCGATAGGTGGTAGAATAACCAACTTGTTGAAGTAGCTTAGTAGTGGCTCGAATCCCGCACAGAACAAGTTCTTGTATGGCCTACAAATAATTGTTCCGAGTCTGGATGTTTGTCCTTGTGAAATTTATATATATATAAACTGCCTCCACGATACAGACGAAAATTCTAGTGTGGGGTTTAAGATAACGTTATGTTATAACGTTACCTTAATTCCACATATTATACCGACGACAAGCATCAGTGTCAAAGATACTCATCTGGCAATCTCTATAAAGTTGTAGGCCCATATTTTTTTATAGAATTAGTGTGACAAACGAGCACACAGTCCAGCTTATGATAAGTGGATGCTGAGGCCCATAGGCTTCTACATTTATCTTCAATTAAGAATCAAAGTGAAGATGCGTTGCCAGCCCTGAGGTCTGAGATAGAATGCCTCGTTTCAAGTAAAAAGGGTCTCCAGAACTCTACAACCTTACGAAACACAGTAGCATTAAGCTACTATTTCACGCTGGTATTCTGTGAGAGCGTGGTCCTGCCCCGGTCGAGCCGAACCATTCGTGCTACAAATACAATATGGTTGCAGCATGGCTCTACCACGTAAACTACGCTTGGGAACCGCCGTGTTATGCTATTATTGAGATTTATCAGGATAAACCTGCTGCCCATCTCCTGTTTCAGTTTCCCCCTGTCACCTCATACGACACCCACGGGATGATATTGGTTAGTGAATTCTCTTTCGCCACCACGGAAAGAGTTAGTTAAGACTGAGGGTTGATAAATAAGAAGATGCTCCGATATCAAAATAATATGAAATACTCTCTTGTATCTCGTCCTCATACTTACCCTTAGAGCTGGAGACTTTATAAGAGATACTGGTCTTGACGGTGACATCGTTGCCCAAGTTGCTAAAGTCCAGTTCATCCAAGGAATGCGTGGCGACCCGTTTGTTTCTACTATCGTTCACCATAGTATCATTCGGAGCGATTTTCCTACCAGTATATGTAGCCTTCGGTTTAGACTTTGGTTCAGGCTCGGAACTCGGTTCAGATTCGGGTTCAGGTTCGGAACTTGGTTCAGGTTCTGGTTCTGAAGCCGGTTCCGGTTCCGGCTCTGAAGCCGGTTCCGGCTCTGAAGCCGGTTCCGGTTCTGAAGTTGGTTCCGGTTCGGGTTCCGCTTTCGGCGCTGGCTCGGCATTCGGTTCGGGCTCGGACTTCGGCTCCGGACTTTGATCCGTTTCGGCTTTAGGTTCCGGCTCCGGTAACGGTTCCGGTTTTTGTGTGCTTGCTGTAATCACATTATATGTAAAGAAATAAAAAAAATAAAAGAAGGAGGAAATTAAAAAAGTGTCCTCCAACTAGTTTTGTAGCATCAAAGTAAGGTTTTTCCTTTTCTTTGTTTATTTTCTTTCTAACGTCGAAACCGTTTTAAAGTGCCAAAAAGAAAATGATTTCTACGAACGGAATTAAAATTATTTATAATATAGTTATATGACAGCGGTTCCTAACTATCTTACTAGGAGTAGGAGAACTGAATGGACAGGAGCATGAGGAGGAAATTAAAAAAAAGTGTCTTCCAACTAGTTTTGTGACATATTGGATCTTCAGTTCCTCTTATATTGTTGTTCATGTATTTTTTTTATAGTAGGATTAAAGTGCATTATAATGTACATTATACTTACGTATATTATAATGATAAAATATGACATAAAATATAAAACTCAAAAAGTATAAGACAACATTAGTTTTGACTAACATTCTTGGTCAACATCTTAATATAAATTACATGTCACGTTGTTTGTCCGCGATGGACTCCTGAACTACTTAACCGATTTTAATCACATTTGCACACCGTGTGCCGTTTGGTCCAACTTGAGAGATAGGATAGTTTTTTTGCCCATGAGTGAACCCACAATTTTTTTTGCGAATTTAAGGATTTTTAATAGGACATGACAAAGGGTCGTCGAAAAGGGCAGAACAACGCCTGCCTCGCAAGCTAGTATACTTATAATTATTTCATAGTTATATTCCGGTATAAAGCGATATACTTAGGGATATAACTACATATATCACGGCCTTTACCGTTTATATTTCTGTCGTCAAATAGCAGTCCTCGCACTGCTGTGTTTCAGTCAGAGGACTATTATGGAGAGCCAGTATGTTTACAGGATGTGAGGTATTTCTTTTTAGTCCTCAGAGGTGACAACGTATCTGTAAACTTCTGTTTGAAGTTGGCTGATGTCCATGGACTGCAGTAACTACTTATCATCAGGTGTCTGTAAGTTCGTTGGTAAATTCAGTTTTATATAAAAAAATAGGCCGATAACTCACTGGACTGATCAGGAGGCGGTCCAAGCACTGGGAAGTTCTTGCATTGCTTGGTCAAGCCCCGAGGTCTCCAACCGATACCTGATGACAGTTACATATTCAAAGCGATATAATACATTTATAACTGAAAATATTTACATAATATTATTCGAGTTCTATTATTTTCGACTGCCTCGTTAGTTTAGTGGTTGCATACGTGACTGCAGATCATGAGGTCCGGCGTTCGAATCCCGGACCGGGGAAAAAATTTATTTCATGCATTGTGAATTAGATCGCTACTAAACACACATCCCAAATTCATAAACACGCTCTACTAACTCTACTTCTATTCTTATTTCACACAATGTTTCACTTTCTTCTCTTTCAAAAACCATCACTTTCGTTTTACTTGTGCACTTTCATTCTACTTTCTTTTAAGAATACGTGTATTAATGTAACCATCATTTCAACTCGTCCATTGACGACACGTACGATGATAATAATCAATCGTAGATCGATGATCGTCGGCATTCTAAGTACGTTGTTTAAATAGTTTCCGGGTTCTATAGTGAAAAAATACTATAATAAGTTCTATCGTAAACACCACACCGAGAAATATCTTCCAGGCCGAATATCAATCACGGCGGCCAGTCTCAACGGAGGCTAGCCATCGGCGCAGGACAGGTTTATAGTGCCCAAGTGTATGCGCAAGCACAGGTGCACTCTCTATACCCTCACTCTCATAATTCAATAGAACAGTAATCCTAAACGACCGAAGAGAGATCAGGCGCAGAACCAACGGCTGTACGAGGCTTTGCTGACTCCAGGCTGCTACTAAGAATTTCTTGACAGCAAAACCCAAAAACAGTTATGGTTCAAAATTCGAACCCAGGACCTCTTTACCAGCAATTTCGTTTAAGACCACTAGATCTACGAAGTAATCAAAACACTAAGCACTATCTACTAATACCTGGACTAACCTGCATAAGAAGTTCCATTGACCATCATGATGAACTCTACCTCCGGGGAATCCTTGACCACGCGCCAGTAAAGTGCAAACTGCTTGGACAATTCCTTCTTAGTGTACAGCGACAAATCGATATTCTTGTCTTTCCATGGCGCTTCTGTAAACAGAAGAACACAACAAGATACATAATGATTTCTTATATTTTCGAAAACGCTACATATTGAATGACAAAAACCTGTGTAGTGATGGTGTGAGAATATCCACTAGCCCATATCGTCCCGAGGGTGTCGTGAGAGGCGACAGAGGACAAATGAGACTGGAGATGGGCAGCAGCATCAAGATAACAACTCAAAATTATAAAAAACTGCGGTTGCCAACCCGCTTGCCAACCCGCTTGCCAAGCGCAAGCGTGGCAACTATGGCAAAATGCCCCCCATGGGCAATCTATAGGGAAGGCTTGTGTTCAGTAGTACACTTTTGTAGGCTATAATGTAGGTATAATGGACATTAAATGAAGCTATTTTTAGGGATTTTATCGCGTTTAATTTTTTAAGCAGGAAATAAAGTAAAAGGGGCTCTACACTCTATTGTGGAAAGTCAGAATGTGTCAAAAAAGTCACGTATGGCAATTCACAATGCTGTGTTAGTTTCTACTTTAAAGTATGGTAGCGAAAGTTGGTTGTGGCAGAAGAAGCACGAGAGTAGAATAAACGCAGTAGAAATGCGGTCGTTGAGGAGTATGTTGGGGCTGAATCTGAGTGACAGAGTGAGAAAATGTGTAATAAGAGAAGACTGTGGTTTGCAAGACGATGTTGTGACCAGGATTAAGAAAGGAATGCTTCGGTGGTTTTTCATGTAGAAAGAATGGATGAGAAAAGAGTGACAAAGCAAATTTATGTTGCAGAAGTGAACGGAAGAGTCGGAAAGGGACGTACTAGGCGAAAGTTTATCTTAATTTATAATAAATTGAGAGTAACCTTAAACGACGAGCGTGTATGCGTAGGTATATGGATGTAGAGAGAGGCGAGAGACGTGTGACAGATTGGGCCTTAACCGACGAGCATGTATGTATAAATATATGGATGTAAAGGAGGCAAGAAAAATGTGTCAGGATCGCGACTAATGGAAGTCGGTGGTCTCTGCCAACCCCTTTGGGTGACAGTCGTGAGTGTGTGGCGGCGCTGTCGTCGCGCCGCAAGCGAAACACACCGAAGCCTAAATCACGCTATCAATATTCCGAATCACAAACAGTATATTATATAGAACATCTCCGAACTATCACACGGAGTGTTGGCCGCTCCCCGGGCAGAACACCTTGCCCGGCGGGAGATCTCCCCTTTTCCTTCCACGGCCACAAGTGTTTATGTTATTTTTTTAATTGAAAGCGCTAATCATAAACTCTCACGCCTGTCACCCAGAGGGATAGCTCTACCTATACTACGGGCTTTCATTTGGCACAATCCTGACACACCTCTCTCGCCTCCTTTACATCCATATAGTTACACATACATGCTCATCGGTTAAGGCCTAATCTGGCCCTTTTTTCAACGCGGTTAATTCCTTAAAATTAAAGTTTCATTTAACAACAAGGTGCATATAAAATCTTACAACACGAAAGCTGAGTTACTATTATGTGGTAATCCTAGTTTATTATACATTACAGTCTATCAAAAGTACATCAACATAATAGATCGCCTCATAGAGAGGATTTTGACGTAGCTGTTACATAGCATACCTGTCTTTGAGCAACCCTGTTGTCAATAATGGTATACATCAACTGATTTTTTATAGGATAGTGTGACAAACGAGCACACAGTCCACCTGATGGTAAGTGGTTGCTGTGGCCCATAGACATCTACATCTATCCTCGTTTGCGAATCAAAATGAAAATGCCTTGAGGACTAAGATGGAATGCCTCTTTCCAGTAAAGGGTCTCCGGTTCTCTACACTCATCATACGAAACACAGCAGCATTAAGCTGCTATTTTACGCTGGTTTTCTGTGAGAGCGTGGTCCTTCCCCGGTCGAGCCGATCCATTCGTGCTACAACTATACTACTAATATAACTGCAGCATGGCTCTACCACGTAAAAAGTGTACCACGTGATGCAGGTCTGTGGGGTTATCTCTCAATACTCTGTCACCTTGCCTTTGCAAAATAGAATACCCACATAAATGGCATACACTAGCGTGACCTCGGTGACTTGGTCCAGGTTGTTGGTCATAAATGGGTTGGAAAACTTAGTTTTATTTTAAGATTTTATCAGCAAGATGCTGCTGCCCATCTCCTGTTTCAGAGTCCCTCTGTCGCCTCTTAACACTCACGGGACGATATGATGTAGTGGATATTCTTAAACAACTACACGGTATACACAAAACAAGATGGTATATTAGTCTGAAATTATTTTATTTTAGAGTGTGCGCAAGAATATCGTGAATTAATTCCTGTTTTCCCCCTCTCTCTCTCTCTCTCTCTCTCTCTCTCCACTATCGGACAACCAGGCGGTCGGCGAGTCTTTACTCCTTTGTTGTCGATATTCCACGCATTCAAACCAAATTATCTACTTCGTCGTCTGTAATGTGTACAGCAAAGGAGTGGAGTACATTGTTGGCGTCTGTCTTTCCGTGCGATTACAATCTGGACGTCTTCAAGGCAAGGGTGAATAGGTTTTTGCATAGAGAATATAATCTTTGGGTTTTTGTTACCACCTCATTTAAAGATAATATTTGGCACAGATTAAAATTATTCAGTTATCTTATAAAGCCTCAGTGGACAAGAGTAGAACGCCTAAGAAAAGACGATGACATGTGTAAGAAAGTAGGGAGTGAAGAGATGACTACTAATGGAAGAGAATCAAAGAGGAAGACATGCTATGCCTACCCTAAATAACTTAAGTTGAGGGCAAGAAAAAGAGGGGTGATGCAGGTTACTCTTGTTCAGCAGTGGACTTGTGGGCTGTAATGAATGATGATGATGAGGGCAGGAAGAAAATGAAGCCTCATAATGGTATTAACGAACTTTATTTGTATGCCATAAAATTAAAATCGAGAAAAACATTTGATCGGCCTGTATGTGACGAATTTCTTTAACGTGTTAAACTTTTCATGAAAGTGCTGGATTCCCTACTATGTAATGTCGTCTCTGTCTTTAAATTAGAGTGCAAAAAAATCTTAGAATCTGAATAACGAGGTACGAGGCATTTCATCTGAGTCTTCTAGCATGAATGCAATTGCATTTTCATTCTTAATTGAGAATAGGTAAGAATTATAACAGCTGTTGTTTAATTGAAACTTTTTAACCTTCGACCTGTCGAACGCCCTACAGCAGCCACCGTCTGGGGAGGGGGGCTGAGTTGTTTGACGTCCTGATGTCATAGTTAACTAGTTCTCTTAAAATATTATGTTTTGGTTCGATATACCAAAACCGACATCGGGTTGTTAAACACCTCCGCCCGAAGCGTCAAGAATTAAAAAGGTTGTAATCAAAGTTAGTTTTATTAATACTTACTCTTGTTGCACCCCTTCCCGTAGAATCCGTGCGGGCAGTAGCACATGCGCGTGGGGCTCTCGGTGGCGTTGATGTCGAGGCACTTGCCGCGCAACCCGCACTCGCCGTCCTCCGCGCACTCGTCCGCGAACTGACAGCGCGCGCCCGTGTGCGCTTTGTGGCACTTGCAGCGGCCCAGGATGTGGAACCCGTGCCCCGAGCACGTCTCGTGGTACTCCTTGCCTGCAACCACCAACCACTATAGGCCCCGAATCAGTGCTTATCATTGTAGTCTATCCACTCTCATTTGCATCTACCAATCAATGCTAATGATTGTAGTCTATCCACTCTCATTTGCAGCTACCAATTAATGCCAATCATTGTAGTCTATCCACTCTCATTTGCAGCTACCAGTCAATGCTAATCATTGTAGTCTATCCACTCTCATTCGCAGCTACCAGTCAATGCTAATCATTGTAGTCTATCCACTCTCATTCGCAGCTACCAATCAATGCTAATCATTGTAATCTATCCACTCTCATTCGCAGCTACCAATCAATGCTAATCATTGTAGTCTATCCACTCTCATTCGCAGCTACCAGTCAATGCTAATCCTTGTAGCCTATCCACTCTCATTCGCAGCTACCATTCAATGCTAATCATTGTAGTCTATTCACTTTCATTCGCGGCTACCAGTCAATGCTAATCATTGTAGTCTATCCACTCTCATTCGCAGCTACCAATCAATGCTAATCATTGTAGTCTATCCACTCTCATTCGCAGCTACCAGTCAATGCTAATCCTTGTAGTCTATCCACTCTCATTCGCAGCTACCATTCAATGCTAATCATTGTAGTCTATTCACTTTCATTCGCGGCTACCAGTCAATGCTAATCATTGTAGTCTATCCAATTTCATTCGCAGCTACCAGTCGATGCTAATCATTGTAATCTATCCACTTTCATTCGCGGCTACCAGTCAATGCTAATCATTGTAGTCTATCCACTTTCATTCGCAGCTACCAGTCAATGCTAATCATTGTAATCTATCCACTTCCATTCGCAGCTACCAGTCAATTCTAATCATTGTAGACTATCCACTTTCATTCGCAGCTACCAGTCAATGCTAATCATTGTAGTCTATCCACTCTCATTTGCAGCTACCAGTCAATGCTAATCATTGTAGTCTATCCACTCTTACTCGCAGCTACCAGTCAATGTTAATCATCTTAGTCTATAATACACGCGCACTGACCACTCCCATTCGTAGCTCCGCTTATAATTTTAGTATTTGAGAAAGTACAGGTCAAGTATTGTAGGTTCCCTTCCCTCTTTGCTTCTTTAAAAGACAGTACTTATATTCTTGATAAGCATTTACAACAACATGATAGTGATGTTTGTTACATTGTTATGTATCTCGTACCCCATCTCGTCATGGATGTCGGATGCTTTATGGTTATTCGTATGATTGTGATTATGATTCAATAAATTATAATAATTAATAATAGAGATATGTAGCTTTAATATAACAACTCACGCTGCACTATGTCAATATCTGCGCAGGACCAAAATCTGTAAGTAGGCCCCCATTCCCCAGCCTCCCTTTGCAGCTGCAGTGTACAGTTGTGGCACGTGAAGTCGCTGGGTAAACGCACTTCATACTTTTGTGCACTGAAATTGTTGAAAACTTAATATGAGAAACATTTAATTTCAACGCGAATAAGTAATTGTTCCTTTTTCCGCCTAGAAGACCGTCTGGGTATGTGTTTTTTATAGGATAAAGATGACAAACGGACACACAGTCCACCTAATGGTAAGTGGATGCTGTAGCCCACAGACATCTACATTTATGGTAGATTAAGAATCAAAATTCGATGCGTTGTCACCACTGAGAACTAAGACAGGATGCCTAGATTCCAGTAATAAAGGATCTCCGGTTCTTTACACTCCCCATACGCAACACATCAGAACTGAGCCACTATTTTACGCTGGTATTCTGTGAGAGCGTGCTCCTTCCCCATTTGAGCCGACGCATTCGTAGTAATACAACCACAATATAGCTGCAGCATGACTATCATTTGAAAGGTACCACATTCTTACATCTTTCTACCACTAAGTAGCTGTGTTTGCTCTGCTGTATTTTGATCCAAAGGCTGTAGAGATCAGTATAATTGTAGACTGTGAGGCATTCCATCTCATTACTAACAAACAAGGAGCGGTGGTAGCTCAGATGGTTAGCGCTCACTCTAAATTTTACAATAAGCGAGCAAACCTTGTTCGACCTCCGCCGGCACCAATGAAGTTCTTAATTGCAATCTAAGTGCTGATTTACCACTTGCTATGCGGTGAAGGAAAACATCGTGAGGAAATCTGCATGTTTGAGAAATAACAAAAGAAATATTTCTAAGACATGTGAAGTTCGCCAACACGCATTGGGGCAGCGCGGCGGACAATTGCTTGCCCTAAAACCCTCTCAGAAATGAGCGGAGGCCTGTGCCCAGGAGTGGGACGTATATAGGCTGTTACTTTCAGTGACAACACATCTATAGCCTGCTTTATTTAAAGTTGGCTGCAGACGTCCATAGACTATCATCAGATGGACCTTAAGTTCGTTGGTGACATTAGTTGAATTAAAAAAAAAACATTATTTTTATTCTACCGTAGTAGCTATGGGGCTAATTGCTCGTTCTAAATTTCACAGTACGCAAGTACTCAGGTTTGATAACTGCTGGAATTTCTTAATTGCAATTGCAACAAAAATATTTCGAGGATATAAGAAGTCCGCCGATACCCAGAGTTATTTATACACGACAGACACCCACATCTATCTCCGATTAGGAATCAAAATGTAGATGCGTTGTCACGCGTGAGGACTAAGATAGAGCGCCTCGTTAGCAGTAGCAGTATAGTACCAACGCACGCACGTCGCCATGGCGCTGTAGCTTAGCAAGCAATTAGAGTTACAGCGCTAAGAACCGCGGGTTCGAATTCCGCACGGAACAAGTATTTGTATGGCCTACAAGAAATTTATGTTCGTAAACTGCCCCCACGGTACAGGATAAAATCCTAATGTGGAGGTAATGTTTTTAAAAGAAAAAATCGGCTACCAGTTAAGAGGATATCTGGTTGTCTACACCCCACATGTTTCGTACACAGCAGCATTAAGCTGTTAGTTCTCGCTGGTATTCTGTGAGTGCGTGGTCCTTCCTCGGTCGAGCCGTCCCACTCATGTGTCTACAACCATAATATAGATGTACCATGGCTATACCACGTACAGAAAGAATGATAATGTGTATTTTCATTTTTTATGTTAAACGAGAAAAGTTCAGCCTATTATAAATATTCGTCATCAACATCATCATTACAGCCCTTCACAAGTCCGCTAATCAAAAGTCTGCTAATCAAAGGCCTCCCCCAAGGAATGCCACAAAGCACGGTCTTGAGCCATCTGCATCCACCGACTTCTTACAAGTTTTACCAGGTCGTTACTCCATCTAGTGATTCGCCTGCCGGTACGAGGTTGTCACTCGATAATATTTCTTCCCCATCGGTTGTCGGTTCTTCGAGCTATATGGCCGACCCATTACCACTTAAGTTTATTAATCCGTTCGGCTATGTCGGTCACTCCGGTTCTACTGCGGATATCTTCACTTCTAAGTTTATTACGCAGAGAAACCCCGAGCATAGCCCTCTCCATAGCTCGCTGAGCAACTTTGAGCTTCATCATACGGCCAGCAGTGAAGGACCACGTTTCAGATCCATAGGTATCACTAGCAACACGCACTGGTTATACAATCTAGTTTTGAAGTATGCCTGACAAGAAGATGTGTCGTAATCTCCCGAACGCTGCCCAGCTGATTTAAATCCGTCGATTGACCTCTCGAAGGTCGAAGTTGGACTTACCTAGTCGGACTATTTATCCCAGGTAACATACTCATCAACACCTTCGAGCTCTCCCAGCAACTACCGGCATAGGTGTGACATGGACATTACACATGAATTTCGTTTTGTCCATGTTCATCTTAAGACCTATCCGTTGGGATACACTATTGAGGTCATTGAGTATAGTGCTTAGGTACTCCAGCGATTCTGCCATAAGGACTATATTGTCGGCAAATCGAAGGTGAGTAATATACTCGCCTACCGTATCCTTTCCAGTCCAGTCGCTTGAAAACGTCTTCCAATGCAGCGGTGAAATAGTTTCGGTCCGACTGACGTCCGGGACACATCGGAATAGTTTCAAATAACTTTGCTATTGGATCGTTACTCACACCTGCATGTGGCTTCAACGATAACCTATACAGCTGCCCGTAGAACCTCTCAATCTCACTAAAATATCTCAGATGTCCTGGAAACGATGCTGCCACATTCGGTCTTCGGCTTCGACAGTATTTGGCAGACAAATCTCTGGCAAAGAGTTTGGAGATCGCTCCTTCAATACGAGCTGTATTGAAGTTGCGTAAGTCGTGTCGCATGCATTTGGAGATCTGTCCGTTCAGTTGCATGTATGCTGTCAAATCTGCTGAAGACTGCAGCTTCATCTCCCGTCTAACAGCCACGAGATTAAGAGTGTGATCGGAGAGTTTTTGTGACGTGTTTTTCTTCTGCGACGGGTCTTACAGAACTTAGCTCCGACAGCATGAGCTGTCCATGCAGTCGGAGCTAAGTTCCACAAGCTTGTCATTCATATCGTCCTCTTTATTGCAGTCTTCTAGACACTGAAAACGATTTTGTAACTCGAGCTGAAAGTTTTCGGGGCTATGGATTGGAACAGAGGGGGGCGGGGCGTTGACTTCATTAGACGTGTGCCTCTCTCCATTCGGTGATCGCTGCCAGTGTTTACCCTTGCGATCACTGAGACATCACTGAAGTAAATCTCAGTTTTTGTCGAACCGTCGGGGCTCAACCAGGTCCACTTTCTGTGGGGCCGCTTTTCGAACAAAGAGTTACTTATAAAGAGTCCCTCTGTCTCCATAAAGTCGGCCAGCTGCTGGCCCCTTTTATTTCGTTGCCCTATTCCGAATTTCCTTACTTTCAGCTCACCGTTCCCTCTTGTGCCTGGTTTTGCGTTGAGGTCTACCATTAACCCTGTATAGTGGGTTTTAGAGGAATACATGGCTCTAGAGATATTCTCATGCATTTCCTCCACCTCCTCATCGGAATATGCCGAGGTTAGCGCGTAAACCTGTATGCCGTTCAGCGAATACCGTTTGGTGATTCTGAATATAAGGTACGCAACCCTCGTCGACACACATCATCATCATCATCAACATCATCACAATGTTGTTAACGACAGACTTGTAGACGATAAATCTGACACCTCCTTGGGACAGATGGTCGCCCTCGGTGATAGAACAAGTGGCCGAATTCGAGGATTACCTTGTCCTCCCCCTCTCTTCGGACCTCAGATAATCCCATAATATCTCAACGCAACTTGTCTATCTTTTCTTGGAGCTCCAGAAACTTCTCGTCAGTCGTCAGGGTGCGTACGTTATATGTTGCCAGGTCGAGTCGTTTTAAGTGGCAGCCGAACCTCCACCGGAGATTCTTAGCACCCCCTGCCCCGCCGTTACCCAGGAATAGCGGGGTCACTGGGGACTGTTTTGCCATAGTTGCTACGCTCGGCGAGCGGGTTGGCAACCGCAGTTTTTATTGTTTTCTGCTGTTCATCATCAGAAACATGCTGCTATTCATTTCCAGTTTTCCTCCCTCGTCTCTAACGACACCTGCGGGAAGATATGGGGTAGTGGGTATTCTATATATGTATTCTATATACCCGCCACTACACGGGGGTAAGTAATAAATATTATTACTATGATAAATAAAACCAATTGTGCCTATAAATTAAACTTAGTTAAATACATAATTCTATTTATTTTAACTGGTTCACTGATTAAATAACTAGATACAATAAGTAACATTAAGGGCCGATTTTCCAATCCTCAGATAAAATTTATATACTTACATAATATTAGGTAATTAATTAAAACATATACAAATAATAAATTACAAGAGAATTAATGAATCAGAATGATTATTTGACTTCTATAAACAGTCTAGTTATGATTTATTCGATATAGTATAGCTGTTATCTCACGATTAAAACACAGCCCAAAAATGAAAGCTTCAAAATACTTACGTGACATCATCCCTCACAAATTCCGACCCTCCGGCTCTTGGTGTTAGGTCTAAAACTGGTCTCTCTAAATCATCCAGGATTCTTAGGCTAAAACCACCCTAAAATTAAAATCAAATTTATTATAAAAAAGGTTTACCGCCCAACGTGGGGCTCGAACCCACGACCCTGAGATTAAGAGTCTCATGCTCTACCGACTGAGCTAGCCGGGCTTGTATACTACCGTCAAATTTATATATTACTTACTTTATGTGCATACGCTAAATGCCAATGTACAGTAAATGTTGAACCCGCTAAAAAAGAAGTCCTCAATGTTCCTGAAACAAAAGATAAACGAAATTTTAAAGATATAATACAAAAATAAATAAATATACTCGTTTATTTTGTATATTGTTCACAATAAAGATCAAGAAAGGTTTGCGATTTCAAATTTAAATATTCCCTGCATAATCACGAAAAAATGTTTCAAATAAAAATAAATATCTTCCACAGCACCATCTAGCGACCACTCGTCAACATAATGCAATGTAAGTAGCAAATATAGCATTTCACAACAACTACCAACAGATGTCGCAAGTAGGCTACAATGCAAATTTTTTTATTACAACAAGAACGTGGGAACTTCTCATTCATAAATAACTAGAAAATTATTTAAGCATCCAAACTGATTATACAACACATTTTCTCATTGGTTGCGCTTAATAATGGAATTCTATTTTGGTAATTGCGTATTTATGCGCATGTTATAACACTATAACTAAATGTATTAAAAATTTAATGGCATGTTTACGATGACTTTCAGTCCAAAACAAGTGGTTAATAAAACTTTAATGTGATGTAAATAGGTACATCATGATACATACATGCATCGTGCTAACGTCATAAATTAATTTCAATCTTAATTTGGAAATAAAAAAGATAATCGTAATCGACCGTGACAGGACTCGAACCTGCAATCTTCGGATCCGAAGTCCGACGCCTTATCCATTAGGCCACACGGTCGCATGACGTAATATAGATGAATGGAACACTAGCTCTACGGCTAATGCGCGCGCATTATTTTTACATATAATAGAAGTTAGAATTAATATATATATATATATATATATATATATATATATATATATATATATATATATATATATACAAACCGAAACATGAATGGGCTATTATTTTAAAATTAAAAAGAATAAATAAAAAGTAATGTTAATATATCATAAAAGAAAATTAAAAATGCAAAAACATTTCCGTTCTCCTTATTAGGATAAAATAGGGGGTATAAAACCTTACAAGGTGACATAACTCCTTGTTCTTTTCTTCCTGGGCGTCCGTCTGGGTGTGTACCATCTTACCTGTTTCTGCCGCCAGTGCTTACATTTCTGTTCCGATCTGAAGGGTATAGAGCATAGAATACTATAATACAAACATAATAGAACGGGTGAGTGGGCGGAATCCGTGTAGCCTCTAAAATGTCACTAACATGTCAATTACAAGTATAATGTCAACACGAGATGTATTTTGATTTTTGACGTTACAATCGTTTCCGAATTTCGCATGCAAATTATTTAGAAAATGCCAAATTGCACACTATTTACAAATAAATATGTATTAAAATTTAAACGATTTTTTGTTAAATAATAATCTTGCACATTAATCAAAAGTCTAAAATGTGTAAATTTACTCAGTCTGTCAACACAGCGAATCGGGTTTGTAGTAGTGATAATACGACGTAATTGCTTGTTTGTGTGCTACCCGCGACGCCGATCCTCGTACAAAATAACGTCGACAGCCATTCTATTGTGTATTATAGTATCCTATGGTATAGACACAGTATAATTACAGGCTGTGAGGCGTGCTAACTTAGCCCTCAGAGGTGACAACGCATCTGTAGCTTTCTTTGTTTTTTTATATTAAGGTTGTAGCACGAATGGGTCGGCTCGACCGAGGAAGGACAACGCTATTTTACTCTCACAGAATGCCAGCGTAAAATAGCTTAATACTGCTGTGTTTCGTATGGTGAGTGTAGAGAACGAGAGACCCTTTTTTACTGGAAACGAGGCATATTCCATCTTAGTCCTCACGGGTGACAACGCACCGGCGTTTTGATACTTAATCGAGGATAAATGTGCATTTCTATGGCCCACGGCATCCACTTATCATCAGGTAGACTGAGTGCTCGTTTGTCACCCTTATTCTATGAAAAAAGGGGTCCATGGACTGCGGTTGTTAGCAACAGGCGGACTTTAAATTCATTTGTCACCTCAATTTGGTATTTAAAAAAATTAAAAATTAAAAGGGAACATTTACATAGCAAATATATAACACATTTTCCCCAATCCTTAGCTTCTGTTCTATAGCGGACAGTCATCTAACGAACAATAAACTGTTCAGCAAGGGTTTTAAGAAACACTTCTACTATATGGTAGATTCTTAAAAATTCTTACGCATAACGGTAAAGTCAAATTAAGGCCAATAAGAAAGTAGAAATTTGGCAAAGATATCTCTACACATTTGTCCAACCAAACAACCAACTCCAAACATTCACCTGAACTTCCGCGACTCAGAGTGCAGGCGCAAAATTTGATGAAAACGAAAATGGATTCTAATTATACGACTAATAGATGTACAGACTGTGAAATATGATGTGTAGACTCGGTCAGGACTGCTAGAATGTGATACAGTACCGTCGATCGCCGGACGGATTCGCTGAAAACGCGCGAGTGACCGAAATTCGGTCTGTCACGGCGGCCTGTCTCAACGAAGACTGGCCAACTGCGCAACAAAGTTAGTGCCTGAATGTACGCGCAAGCAAAAATTTACTCTCTATTCCCTCACTCGCATAGTCCGAAGGGACTGTAATCCGACACGTCCGTGTGAGAGAACAACGGCTTTACGTGCTTTCCGAGGGATGGCGGTGAAACATCAGCAATTTTCTGACTTAGGGCTGCCACTGGGAATCTTTTGATAGCAAAACCCTGATTTTGTGCCTCCCGACCTCATGGAGACCAACGAAGCAGTCAAATAGATAAAAACCACCAAAAAGGAGGATAAAAACCATCTCCTTACACACCGAGTGTCCACGATCGTGTACCACACGTTTGTCCAACCCTCCAAGCACAGAATTGACAAATGTATAGTGCTCGTATAGTAATGAAAGTGTTATGGTTTGGTGGAGAAATAGTTCGAAGTTAAAACTCATAACTTTTTAGAGCGAAAACTCACGAAACATGTCAACACTTCGAACAGAGCTTCCCAAAGTTGATGATGCGCTGTAGAGGGTGCAAAATAAACCGGAGTTCAGCTTTAGAGCAAACATCGCTCGAAGATCAATGTGGAGCAACAAGTGAGAGTAGCGGTGTTACACATTAAGTATACCACGCTTTGAAAAAAATTGTGGAGATCACCAAGCTCATACGTCACATTAACTACGTTGCCATTGTATTTAATTTCCTATTTATCTTAAATAGTAACTGTAATCTTGTGTGTCAATATAAATATAAAAACTCAGCTTCATATTGTGGATGTTTCAATTTTTGTGCCATTGTTAAATTATGGTCGTACCTACCACGTATTGGTCAGCCCGACCGGGGTTCTCACAGAATACCAACGTAAAATAGCAGCTTGATGCTGTGGTGTTTTGTATGGTGAGTGTAGTTCCATCGTAGTTCTCAGGGCTGACAACGCATCTGCATTTTGATTCTTAGTTGAAGATAAATATAGATGTCTATGGGCCACAGCATCCACTTACCAATCAGGTGGACTGTGTGCTCGTTTATCATCCCATTCTATAAAAAATTCATTGTACCCTAATTCGACGAGCTAAGGCGCCTAAACAAAATACAAAACGTGTAAGTGCGCTGCGAACTAAAAACGTTTAGGAACCCCCGACATATACCCCCGTATACTTACTTGCTGATTTCGATATACTCTATGTGTCAACGTTTTCACAGGGAATGTATTTTAACCAAAACTATGAAGTTTTAAACGATTACAACAACATTTAGTTTAATTTTTAATTTTTTAACATTTAATTTAATGAATAATATTTACTTGTAAGTAATATAATGGTAACAAAACAATTTTATTCTGCATGCGTAACAAACTAGTCACGACTCACATAACAGTAAGTAGATGCTCTGTACCATAGACACCGACGCCTATAATATGCATAGGGATGATCTCTTTAAATGTAAATGCAACATTCAAATAATCACCATTGAGAACAACCTTCTTCTTTAGATAATTAACAGCATCAGTCGTTACTTTGTGGAAATCATTTCCAACACAAGCACATGAAAAATGATAAGATGATTTACATCTCATTAAAGTTTTGTTAAGCACTTGTTTTTGACTGAAAGTCATCGTTAACGTGACATTAAAATTTTAATACGTTTAGTTGGTAAAATTTTATTAGCTAATTTCCGCTAAACAAATATTGAACTGTCGTGTGTTTTTCCTAGTGTAGGTAGTAGTGTTGAGATTAGTGGTGACGAGATTAATGTATGCAAACGCAATTGAGGGAGGGCGGGAGCTCTTCAAACTACGTAGCGTAGGACGAATTATTTTATTTTATTACGCAGATCATAGCTAATAAATTTTTAAAATCTTTAACCTAATTTTTTTGAAGTTGGTTTAAAAAAACTATTTATTAGATAAGTAGACATGTTTTAAAAAAGTTTACAAAGTTTTATTCAATACAAATTGAAAATATTTTATTTCTGGTCATAAATAGAAAAGAATTAAAATGTAATTAATTAAATTATGTTTTTAAAATGTAAAGTAAGAAAAACAACCCGATCACAAAAAATATTCGCAGCCGGTAGGATTCGAACCTACGCTCCCAGAGGGAATCTGATTTCGAGTCAGACGCCTTAACCACTCGGCCACGACTGCTTGCGTTACCATGTTGAAATACAGCTACAAATACCCTAACTTTACAAACTTTAAATGTAGAAAATATTATGATCGATATTTTTGGCCTACATACTTTCTTTAAACTAAAAATTGATTTTCAACTTCAACAAAGGTATTTATCAATTTAACAGCAATTTTCAGAGTATGCTGACAACACGATATAATTTAACTAAATTCAGTAAAGTTTTTACTTACTACGAAATATACTTAAACAGTAGTCCCATATTAATTTAATAAAGTAAACAATGTTTTTTTTTACATTACGTATGAATTGCATAACTTAATTCCTTACACTCTGTCCTATCAATGGACACAACGTCCGGCTTAAAGAATTTATATACAGCAAAAGAGTATGTAGTATAATTTGACAGCATCTGTCTTACTAACGGTTTTACTATGTGGGTGTCTTAAAGGCATAGTACTATTATTTATTCTGTGGCAAGAGTGAATAGGCTTTTGAGTACGCTTTACCATTTTCGATTGCATCATGACCTACCTTCAGGTGGATTATAGTCAAACACTGTCTTGTAATAGTTAAAAAAAGTTAGCACGCTTGTTCGAAAAGTACTGGCCAAATATTTAAAAAAAATTGTACGCGATAAAATTTATCTTCATTTAAGAGCTTGCAACTGATTCGCGCCAAAAACTTTATGTTTTATGCATTGAAGTAATATGTACTTACGTACTAGAACAGCTATTTCAAACAAAAAAATGTGCGCTATTCTGTGTTCGCGCGGTTTGTTTTGTGATCATAGAATAAACATAGGTAGAATGATGAGTAGGTAATAAAAGATTGTACTGTTAAATAGGTAAATTATATCGAGAACAATTTTTTAAATCATTTATTTTGTATATTATATTTACTTATTTAATATAATATTATAACACAATTACATTTTAATGATATTTTTATCTCAATATTTTAAAAGGTATCTATCTCAAATATAAAAAACATACTAAATATATGTTTAACAAAACTTGTTAATATAACATTTAAATTACAAATATATTTATTTAAATTAGAATAAGAGTCGTTCATAAATACTGGGCACGCGAGAGTTAAAAATTGACGAATTTATTCCACTTTGACTTTGATGTGGAAACCTAAAAATGAAACATAAGAATAATGAGCATATTTAAATATAAAAAATTTGGCCTTATTATGATAACTCATATATGTTTCTACAAAAAAATGTGTATAATAATATATTCACCCTATATTTAAGTACCCACAGAAATGTCGCATCTAAACAAATTAATTTCATAATCTATACTACGTGACACAAAACGGCGTCTTAGGAATAATTTGTTTTATTAATAATTTATAACACTTTTTTATTGATTAAGTATCTTATTAACCAATGGAAAGTAATTCCTTGGTTTTTACTGTCATTTCTTGAATTATTTGTGCAATATCTAAGTACGCACGACGGCATATTTTTATCACGAGATTTTTTTTAAATCAAAACAACACGTGTCAACTCTACTAGCGCCTAGTGAGTGACTGATTAAAGTGCAGTGTTTGCACCGCAGTTGAATGGAACATAGTAGCTGAATGCAGTGTCGCCTCTAGTACGTAGTACATATTAGCTCAATGGTTTTATGGTTTATTCAAAGGCAATATGGTAACGATGTAAGCAGAGTATTAGCAGAAAATTACGGTTTTAGAAAAATATAGTTTTAATTTAATGCACTTGTAGTGTAGCAAATTTTTTATTTAGTTCGTCAGAGGCATATTTTAGATCGAATATAACCATTATAATAAGATAAAATACTACCGGAACTAAACTACTAACTAAAATACAAACAATACATTTAGTCTCGAAGTGCAACAGAAACACTAAATTGGGAAAATATCTTAATAATCTTTACTTTTATCCAACTACCCAAGAACTAATGTTTTTCTAGTGTCCACATATAGGTACTCTGTAGCCAAAACTACTTTTTGGTTTCTAATACGGATGTCATATCATTAGATTTGTGTCAGTTGTGGAAGTGGCGTAGTGTATTTTTCTCTTTCCAGCAGTCTTTTATTATTTATGCAGTCTATTTTTTTCTATTAGTGTTTTAAGTATAACTATTAGACTTGTTTGGGATAAATGTTTTAGGCCACAGTATGCACTTATCCTAAGATGGATTATGTTTTTTTATATCCGACTACAAAAAGGTGGTAATTAAGGAGAAAAAAGAGGAAAAAAAAATCTGTATAGTTTTTTTTTAATAGGATAAGGTGACAAACGAGCAGACAGTCCACCCGATGGTAAGTGGATGCTGTGGCATATAGACATCTATATTCGATTAAAAATCAAAATGCAAATGCGTCGTCAGTTGTCACCCTTGAGGACTAAGATGGAATGCCTCGTTTCCAGTAAAACGGGTCTCCGGTTCTCTACTCTCACCATACGAAACACAGCAGCACTAAGCAACTATTTGACGCTGGTATTCTGTGAGAGCGTGGTCCTTCCCCGGTTGAGCCGTCCCATTCGTGCTACAACCATAATATAGCTGCAGCGTGGCTCTACCACGTAATTTTTTTTTTGTTTATGTATGTAACGCAATATCCCAGTCATTAATTAACGATTTTGATGATTGTTTTTTATTACGAAGGTTATACTTTAGCGGTCTTATACATTTTTTTTAAATCGTCGATTGCATCATGACCGAGTGTGTAAACATTAATTTGATGAACATTTTTTTATTAAATAAGTTATGCTTCCGGGGTAGTTCCATACAAATTGAAGCAAAAATTTCACACCTAAGGGCGGTATAAAATAAAGAAATTTTTAGCTTTGTAATTGCAGTGGTAATTCATACGTGGTAGAGCCATGCTGCAGCGATGTCTTAAGCTCGACCGGGGAAGGAGCACGCTCTCACAGAATACCAGCGTAAAATAACAGCTCAATACTGCTGCGTTTCGTATGGTGAGAGTAGAGAACCGGAGACCCTTTTTACTGGCAACGAGGCATTCTATCTTAGTCCTCACGGGCGACAACGCATCTGCATTTTGATTATTAATCTCGGATTGATTGATTATGGGCCACAGCATCCACTTACCATCAGGTGGACTGTGTGCTCGTTTGTCACCTTTATTCTATAAAAAAAATGTAACTACATATTAAGACGATATTTAGGTTATGATATTGCCCAATTCAGTCAAAAAAATAAAATAAAAGAGCATCAAAAAGAACTAAAAAGAATACCTAATAAAATGATTGCACAATCTAAGTCAGGACTTTAATTGTTTTATACAGTATGTCTTAGCTAAGTTAATTTTTTGTCACCATTTATCTTAACAAGTGAAATTTTCTTACATTGTCAATGACATCCGTTTCTAAGCTATATTCGAAATTTCTAGTCTTTTTTATAGAAGTTGGATGCCAAACGAGCACACAGTCCACTTGATGGTAATTGTTTGCTGTGGCCCTTAGACATCTACATCTATCCTCGATGACATATTTACATTTATCCTAAGAATGTAGATGCGTTGTCACCCGTGAGGACTAAAATGGAATGTCTCGTTTCCAGTAAAAAGGGTTTCCGGATCTCTACACTCACCATACGAAACACAGCAGTGTTAAGCTGCTATTTTACGCTGGCATTCTGTGAGATTCCTCCTGCCCCGGTCTAGCCGACACATTCGTACTACAGCTATAGGAACCAGTAATATAGTTGCAGGATAGCTATATTACGTATAATTATAGCTCATCGGGAAGTTAGTTAGAAATCTAAATTCGAATCCAAACAAACATGCACGAAAGGAAAAAAACGTGGTAATAAAATAAATAATAATTATGAAGGTTAAATACATAACAAACGATTATATTTAAATTTATATTTTTTATTTCATTCTAATTATTCACATAATGTGGATTTACACATAAAAATAAATTTTAACTGCTCTTTTATGGAACATAATATTATAATCATACTTAATATATTTTGAAAAATAAAAATAACATCTCAACGTTCTGTTAATTTGAAGAATAAAAACCTGCAAACCTTAAATCTGTCTTTTTTTCTAAGTTTATAGAATAAGGTCAAAGACAAAAACACTATGCTCAATGACGCCAGTAGTGTCACCAGACAGACGTTAACTTATGAATTTAACGTGGACAAGATAGTAGTTACTAAAATAAATGATGAAGTTAAATGGATTACGCATTACTTCTGTGTATTGTACATACATACATCTAATATATTATGCATAATGATAACATTATAACTTGTTTTGTTATATGCCAACCCTATATCGTTGTTTCATAGTAAGTAATTTAAGTTGTACGTAGCGCTCTTGTTACGTATTTAGGCATACACTATTGAGGAAGATCCGGGATACAATAATTAACAACTAACAACGGGTCAGTGGTGGTTAGTTTTTAATCCGCACTCGTTCCCCGAACGGGTTCGCCCATTGTAAGTTGTAACCCTTGGATTAGGGTGTAACACAATAAAGATTAAATAAAAAATAAAAAAATTATTAACGCGTACAGCACATAATGTTTGTGTACAAACTAAAAACACCTCGACGATACGGAAGAAATTCTAAGATTGGGTAACGTTTTTATAATTTCAAAATAATCTAACGTAATATACAATTTTAATTGTGCAGAATTCACAATGGCTTCGAAATATTTTATACCTCAAATTTATAGTTTTTTTTTTAATAGGATGAGGGTGACAACCGAGCACACTGTTCACCTGATGGTAAGTGAATACTATATACCCACAGAAATCTAAATAATAGTACCTTATTATTTAGATTTCTGTGTGTAGACCATAGACATATACATCTATCCTCGATAAAAAATGAGGATGCGTGTCTAATGGAAGCCACACACGGTCAGTTCAGCTGATCATTCTAACTGATCAGTTCGAACTAAAACTGTTAATATTTTTTTAAATATCAAATTTTCGATATATCGATAATTATAAATATATTAATATCGTACTTTTATATATAAGTTTATTTATCGATATATCGAAAATCCAATATTTTAAAAAATATTTACAGTTTTAGTTTGAACTCATCAGTTGGAATGATCGGTTGAACTGACCGTGCGTTCCGACCATAGGTATTAAGATGTAATGCCTCGTTTTACAGTCAAAAGCTCTTCACACACACCATACGAAATACAGCATAGTCGAGCTGCTATTTTACACTGTTATTCTGTGCGGGCGTAGTAAAGTCATATAATAGGGTTGGCAACCCTACGTTGTTACATATTTTTAATCAGAAAAACGTCTAGTCTCTTAAAACTAAGCGGTCAAAGTTTCCATAAATAAAGAAATAATATAAAGTTATAAATACCTTTAGGCATCCCGCATGGTGGTTTCGTTCTCGAATTGTCTAGAAAGTCCAAATCCAACCGCCTCGCTGGTGGATACGTCAGCGCCACGTGGGCGGACGTGTGAGCCACCAGCCCAAAGAAAAACATAAACAATACTCGCGACGCCATCTTATTTTTCCTTTTATTTAAGATTAACACATGACACTTGCAATCACTTTACACATACGTTCCGCTCATGTTCACTGGATAACACTTCACATCACTTGGTACTATGATCCGAGGATCATTTTGCACTTGGCTTCACGTCTGAGAGATGATGAGGCGTTACGGTTCTGTAACAAAGCACAAAATATTCTATATTATTAACAATATTAAAACATTATAGATTCAGGCTATTTCGTATGGTGATTGTAGAGATTCGGAGACCCTTTTTATACCGGAAACGAGGCATTCCATCTTAGTCCTCAGGGTAGACAACGCATCTGCGTTTTGATTCTTAAGGATAAATGTAGATGCCTATGGGCCAGAGCATCCACTTACCATCAGATGGACTGTTTGCTCGTCTGTCACCCTTATTATATAAAAAAGGCTAATAGGTTAAAATCGATATGTCAAAGATATAAAAATTGATCCGCGAAGAATTGCCATTTTTCACGCGGATATCAGCTACGTATATGTACTACAATACCTATATAATGTTGTAAACGTATAAATTGGTCCGAATAATTAATATAAAATGTCAAATATTATTCTAATTGTAATATTTCTACAGCGAAACCCAACAAATAGCACACTAAAAACAACTAGTGACCTCATAAAGAAACACTCCGAAAAATTAAATCTGGACGTAAAATGGATAATACCTACGTGCGCCAAATCACCAAAATTGTATGGGTTACCAAAAATACACAAGCCCAATGCTCCATTACGTCCCATAGTGAGCCAAATCGATTCACCAACTTACAGATTGGCTCAACACTTAGCGAAAATACTCTCACCACTCAGGGGACATACAAGAGCACACATAAAGGATTCCTACCATTTTGTCAGCGAGATTAAAGACCTACATCTGGCAGAAATTGAAACTATGGTCAGTTTTGATGTGCAGTCATTGTTTACATGCTTACCTGTTGAAGACTGCATCTAAATTGTAACTAGAAGGCTGGAAGAAAACAACATGCCCGTAGAATATGCAGTATTACTCAGACACTGCCTTACATCTGGCTACCTATTGTGGAAGGAGGAGTTCTACAAGCAAGTAGATGGTGTGGCGATGGGCTCACCTGTATCTCCCATTGTCGCCGACATATTCATGGAAGACTTTGAGGAGAAAGCCCTGCTTAGTTCTCCCATAAATCCAAGGTTCTACAAGCGGTACGTAGACGACACTTTCACAATTCTACCTTTAGATAAAGTGACTGCATTTTTAGACCATCTTAACTCTATAAATTCTAAAATTCAGTTCACAATGGAGTTAGAGGCAAACAATTCCTTAGCTTTTCTAGATGTGTTAGTAATTCGGAATCCTGATAACACCTTGAGCCATACTGTGTATAGAAAAAAAGACCCATACAGATAGATATTTAAACGGTGATTCTCACCACCATCCTTCACAGTTAGCTACCGTGGGTAAATCTTTGTTTCAGAGAGCACGAGGGATCTGTGACAGTAAACACCTGGCTGCAGAGCTCCACCATGTCAAGCAAGTTTTGCATGACATCAAGCTTCGAGTCCCGCGCCTACGTCACAGTGAACGAGTGAAGCCGGCCACAGTCGAGCGTGTACCTGCTGTACTGCCATATGTTAGAGGAGTCACTGAAAAGATTGGCTACATCTTGAAGCGCGCTTCCATCAAAACATACTTCAAGCCGCTGAAGAAGATTGGTCAGTTTTTACCATTGGTCAAGTGTAATGTCCCTCTGCAAGATGCAGGAGTGTACAAGCTTGATTGTGAATGTGGTCTCTCCTACATAGGACAAACTAAAAGATCAATAAAAACCCGCGTTAAAGAACATATAGCTGATGTGAAGAATCGACGCTCCGGGAAGTCTGCAGTCTGTGAACACGTACAAGATCGCCCCCGTCACTACATCAGATTTGATAGACCGCAGATCCTCGCTAAAGAACACCGATTCCTTCCAAGGATGATTCGCGAGGCTATTGAAATCAAAAAACATCCTAATTTCAATAGAGAAGACGGCTGGGTGCTACCATCTGCTTGGGATCCTATAATAAATAAAATTAAATCCCAAGACTTCAAGATGCCATAAGTTCATACTGCATAGATCGGAACAAAAGTTAAATTTTAATCTATGGTAACCGCGGTTAACTATGACATATGGACATTGAACATCTCAGTCCTGCCCGTGACCATGAATGCTGTAAAGCGTTCGAAACGTCGGGTATTTAAAAGCTAAATATACGCGATAAATTCCGTAAAAACTAGTATTATTTCAAAATCACAGGGTTTTTAAATACTTCGATCCATCCTCACGAGCAACTTTCCATTTGGTGACTAATTCAACATAATTTTTTTCATAGAATAAAACTAATTTTACAGATGTTTGGAGAATGGCCGGTGTGACTGCAATTCGGTCTGAAGAGCATTAACTTTTTAAGAGGGTAGTCGGTCTGAGCAGGAATTGAGAAATAGGTATTTTTTCTCCGCGAAAACTAAGCACTCATTTATTTTTGGTATCAAAATTTAAAGGAAGAATAGGTCTATGCTCCTATCACTTGTTTTTATCTTCAAAACTTTTCAAATTTCTTTGGTAGTCGTCACATTACGGAGGTAAAAACAGGGCATTTTTTAGATTTTTGAAAGTCATATTTATTTATGGAATATTTTTTTGGAAAAAAATAAATGACAGGGGCATGTCCACAATATATCTAACTTTTTATAAACAAAAACGATTACTCTAGAGGCATTATTAAGGAAGAGATTAGGGGAATACATTTCTATAGATAAATGATATACCTAAGATATACTTTTTTTACTCGTCCGTGATAAGTCCTTGAAAAAATGCAGCCCGTCTACGCTCTTAATGATCCAATTATATCACTCGAATATTATGTAAAAAATAGGTAAAAATCATTGCTTATAACTTGCTGTATATTATTTAACATATGTAATTCAATTGTATAAGAAACATATCTTAAGTTATGATTACCAACAATGCATTCAAATTTCAACCGTATATCCCAACACTAAAATACAAATGTGGAGTGTGTACAACTAATAACGAAGGCCGATTATCTGTCCGTCCGTCACACTGTACGGTCACTCTCTATTTTCACTTTCTCTGTAACAATGGGGCGATGATCTCGTTAAATTAAGATTCGCTTTTTTCCTACTATAACTTAACATGAACGTAGTATGTTTAACTGAGCATGAGCGTACGAAGACTTTTTTCAGTCCACCTGATGTTAAGTGGCTATTACACCCCTGGGACAATTACAACATACTTTTAAAAATAAGATCACAGCCGCGTGATCAATCCTAAGGACTAAGATGGAATGACTCACCGCCTGTTTTTTAAGTTTTTTATAAGTACATGTAATTAAAGTAAGCGAAGTAATTATCTACTGCAGCCAATTGGCAACGTTTTTATAGGATAAAGGTGACAAACGAGCACACAGTCAACGTGATGGCAAGTGGTTGCTGTGGCCCATAGTCCTACATCAAAATGTAGACGCGTTGTCACCCCTGAGGATGGAATGCCTCGTTTCCAGCGAAAAAGGGTCTCCGGTTCTCTACACTCACCATAAGAAATGGCTCATGGCTCTACAATCCATCTTCAAAAAAAGGAGTGTGCGTTGTCACAACCGAGGACCGAGTTTTCTAATTTTTTTAGGAACACCTTAACAGCGATACCTAATGTACAAAGAAATCAGGTGAAAGTGTCAAGTATGTCAAATCAGACTCCATGAGAATAAATAACCAGATTGACCAATGAATTCCGTGACACAACTCGATTGCTACATGAGTCAGCACCAATTTTTTTTAAAAAATAATACCGAAAAGACAAATAAACATACAGTCCATGTTTTTTTTCATAGGATAGAGTGACAAACTAGCACACAGTCCATCTGATGGTAAGTGGTTGCTGCGGCCCATAGATATCTACATCTATTCTCGATTAATAATCAAAATTTAGACGCGTTGTCACCCCTGAGGACTGAGATGGAATACCCCGTTTCCAGTAAAAGGGATATCCGGCTCTCTACACTCACCATACGAAACACAACAGCATTCAGATGCTATTTCACGCTGGTATTCTGTGAGAGTATGGTTCTTCCACGGTTGCGAGCCATTGGTGCTACCATTGTACAACCATATTCTTGCAAATAAAGATTATTATTATTTTGGGGTATCTATATAGTTTTCTCATCTGGTTGGGTGCTATAAATATATAATTATAAATGAAAATTAAAAGACAAATATACATAAATATCAATAACATAAAATAAATATAAAAGTACATAAATAAATAAAAGCCCAACCAGATGGAGGCCCTCGGCAGGGGAGACCAAACGGCCGAGGGTTAGGGGGAAAGGGAAAGAAACCGGCGGACGATGCGGGCGGTATCGAGGAGCACCGCCTTCTGCATTTGAACCTGGAGCGGTCCGCCACGTAGTCCCAGCCGCCTCAGATGACCCGAGAGGCTGACTGGGATTAGCCCGTTTGCAGAGACGACTACAGGAATAATTTCGGTCGGCAGACCACCCCACATGTCGGTCACCTCGTGAGCCAGGTCCAGATATTTTGTTTGCTTGTCTGTTTCGGCTTTCACGAGGTTCTCGTCATACGGAATGGTAATGTCGACCAAAAATATCCTTGACTGTGCCCGGTCCATCAGCACAATATCAGGCTTATTCGCAAGAATAGTCCTGTCTGTGATGATGGCACGGTCCCAATAGAGCCTGGCGCGATCATTTTCGAGCACGGCTTCCGGCAAGTACTTGTAATACGGCAATTTCCGATCCACGAGACCGTATTTCAGAGCGAGCTCCTGGTGTAGAATTCTGGCTACTAGGTTGTGCCTGTGCAAGTACTCAGAGTTAGAAAGCGCCGAACAACCGGAGATAACATGCCTAAGTGACTCACCGGGATGGCGACAAGCTCGACAGATGTCGACGGTGCCATCCTTTAGGATGTATCTCCGATAGTTGTTGGTCTTAATAACCTGATCCTGTATTGCACAGACAAAACCCTCGGTTTCCCCGAAGAGATCACCAAAGCGTAGCCAGTGGAGGGAGGCTACTGTGTCTACGAAAGGCTCATGTAGAGCCTTGTAGAACCTCCCGTGGAGCTCCTTCTCCTTCCATACGGTCTCCCGGTCGGAAATGCTCTGCACTGCCGGGTCTTGCCATTGCTCGTTGGCTAAGGATAGAGGGGTAAGTCCTTTATCACAAGAAATGACGTCCTTATAGAATGGATCATCCGATCTCGCCAGGAAGTAATCACGGAGGCTGCACACTTCGCGATTATGCATGGTGAGCGCGCTCAAGAAGCCACGACCACCATGCTTCCGCGGCAAGTACAGCCTCATTACCGACGATCTCGGATGATGCATCCTATGGGACGTCATTGTAGTGCGGACTTTTCTATCCAGGGCGTTAAGTTCAGTCTGAGTCCACCTGAGTATGCCAAAGGTATACATGAGGACAGGCATGACCCAGCCGTTATATGCGTGTGCCTTATTCACACCGGACAAAAGGCTGTTAAGCACTTTGGTCAAGCGTGCATAAAACACGTCGCAAACTGACTGTTTCATACCAGTCTCATCGATACCGATGTTTTGTGACATACCCAGGTATCGGTATGTTTCAGCCTCGGAAAGGGTCCTTAAGTTGACGGGCATAGATAAGTCTACGCCCTCAGAGTTAGCAACCCGTCCCCTTTCAACATGGAGGACCGCACACTTATCCGTTCCCAGCTCCATTCCAATAGAATTGCTAAATTCACAAGTGATGTTTAACAATTCCATAAGATGGGAGCGACTGGAGGCGAATAACTTGAGGTCATCCATATAGAAAAGGTGGGTCACTTTTGTCCCTCCTTTCCGTAGCTGAAATCCCCTCCCGGAGCCCTCCAGTAAGGTACTGAGAGGGTTCAGAGAGAGACAGAACCAGATTGGACTCAGACAATCGCCCTGGAAGATACGCCTTCTTATCCTTATGTGGTTCTCCGCAGCCATCATCCGCTCGCCTAGATGACAAAGGATCGTACTCCACTGCCCCATACACTGCTCGAGGAAGTCTCTAACTGTACAGTCTATCTTGTACAGCTCGAGGACTCTCTTTAGCCATGTATGGGGCACCGAGTCGAATGCCTTTCTGTAGTCTATCCAGGCGGCGGAGAAGTTCCGACGGTTGCGTTTCACCACTTTGCCAATGACCGCGTCAATGAGGAGTGGTTCCTTGGTTCCACGACCACCGCCCCGACATCCATTTTGAGCGCGCGACATCACCTGATTTGAGTCCAGGTGACAAGTGATTCTCGCGCTCAAAATGGATGTTAGTGTCTTGTATATGGTCGGTAGACACGTGATGGGGCGGTATTTGCTCGGGTCTGTGGTACCCTGGTCTTTAGGAACTAAATGAGTGATCCCAGTAGTGAAGAGGCTTGGGAGCGACTTCTGGTTGAGAGCCTCTTGAAACTGTCGGGCGAGCACAGAGTGACACACCATGAACCCCTTCAGCCAGTAGTGATGCAGCCCGTCAAGCCCCGGACTTTTCCAGTTCGGGGCCCTACGAACCGCCTCAGCTACGTCATCCGGCGTTATGATGACGGGGTCCATGGGCGTAATACCCGCACACTGACTCGCCACAACTTCCGTCCAAGGGCCCTCGCTGTGGTTTACGGGCTCTGACCACAGGCCGCGCCAGAATGCTACAGTGTCGGCCTGATCCGGTGCTGGACCCGTTCCACTTACCATTGGTCGCTCCAATGATTCATAGAGCCTCTTCTGATCACTCTGGAAGAGACGATTCTGGTTGAACCGTGTCGACCTCTCGGTATATCGCCGAATCCGCTTTCCCCAAGCAGCGATTCTCTGCTTCAGATCATCTATGCGCTCCGTCAGTTTTTGCGTTATATCCGGCTGGGACAAACTGACATTTGTCCCAGCAAACGCCATCCTGACGGTGCGCACAATTCTTGGCCTGTTGTTGCCTGATCTGAAGCATATCAGTCTGCCGATGAGAGCTCTAGCCTTTGCGATACGTTCCTCAATTCTTCTTCTCCATGCTGGGATAGCGCTACTATGGCCAGTAGCGCGTCCAGCCGTGGAAACCTTGGCGCCTATGATACGGCAGACTGCCAGCGCGGCGCCAAAAAGAATTGAGTCCGTCTCGCAAAGGTCCCGGCTGGCTTCCAAATAGGTAACCAGCATTGGGTTCAGAGCCCTCACGACAGCCCGATTCCGCTTGCTTAGGGCTATGCGGGGGAAGTCGCGGTCGATTTTCGAGAGGCGTACTGCGCGTTTCCACAATCGCCTCTTCCAATATACTCCTCATATGCTCTAATTCCAGTTCCTGTGCGACTGTTCCATCATCGTTTGAATCAACCACAACTGGGGTATTCACGGCAGCATCCACGTTTGCGGGTTGCTCTACCATTTGTGGCGCCGCATCCTCAGCCGTAGCATTCTCATCCGACGAGGGAACAGCCTCACGTCGTAGCCGTTCGAGTTCGGCGACATCAAATATATTTGAGCGCAAGATATACCGAACTCGGTCTGCCAGGTTTTGCTCTGTGACGATTAAAGATGGCTCCAGCTCAGCAAAAAGACGATGCATCCTAGCCCGATACGCCAAACATCCAGTTTCTTCCCCTTTTGCCCTAAAGTACGCCCGCAGTGCGTTTGCATTCATTTCTTGTGACCAACGCATGCGACGTGCTCCACCAGCGGCGGGTGCCGCTTGCTGAGTCCGAGAAGACCCAGCCGACACCAAGCCTTCTGGTGGGGATGATGGATGCGGAGGGCTGGTAGATGACCGTGCAGCTCCTCGCGCTCGGCTGGCGGCCCGCATGCTGCCGCGTCCAGCGCCAGCTCCAGACGCGCCCCGGCGACCCCCCAGGCAGCGGCCCTTTGCGCACTATCTTTTTATCCATCATCCATTATTTGGGCGTCCATTAACGGGAGACGCCCAGGCCCGGCACCGTTTCGTGTGTAGCCATAAGCACAAACGGGCCTCTGCACCCTAAATTCTGCCGCGGCACGGCGCTCACACCTCTCGCAAGGCGCTGACTGACTGCGTTGACGTAGCAGTTTTGTCACTTAACTGTTACGTCAGCGGGCGATGGGGTCGTCAATTCCCTACGCCTTTTTATTATTATTATTATTATTTATTATTGTGGGGCATCTATATAGTTTTCTCATCTGGTTGGGTTCTATAAATATATAATTATAAATGAAAATGAAAAGATAAATATACATAAATATCAATAAAATGAAATAAATACAAAAATACATAAATAAATAAAAGCCCAACCAGATGGAGGCCCTCGGCAGGGGAGACCAAACGGCCGAGGGTTAGGGGGAAAGGGAAAGAAACCGGCGGACGATGCAGGCGGTATCGAGGAGCACCGCCTTCTGCATTTGAGCCCGAAGCGGTCCGTCACGGAGTCCCAGTCGCCTCAGATGACCAGGAAGGCTAACTGGGATTAGCCCATTCGCAGAGACGACTACTGGAATAATTTCGGTCGGCAGACCACCCCACATGTCGGTCACCTCGTGAGCCAGGTCCAGATATTTTGATTGCTTATCTGTTTCGGCTTTCACGAGGTTCTCGTCATACGGGATGGTAATATCGACCAAAAATATCCTTGACTGTGCCCGGTCCATCAGCACAATATCAGGCTTATTCGCAAGAATAGTCCTGTCTGTGATGATGGCCCGGTCCCAGTAGAGCCTAGCGCGGTCATTTTCGAGTACGGCTTCTGGCAAGTACTTCTAATACGGCAATTTCCGGTCCACGAGACCGTATTTCACAGCGAGCTCCTGGTGTAGAATCCTGGCTACAAGGTTGTGCCTGTGCAAGTACTCAGTTAGAAAGCGCCGAACAACCGGAGATGACATGCCTAAGCGACTCACCGGGATGGCGACAAGCTCGACAGACGTCGACGGCGCCATTCTTTAGGATGTATCTCCGATAGTTGTTGGTCTTAATAAACCGATCCTGTATTGCACAGACAAAACCCTCGGTTTCCCCGAAGAGGTCACCGAAACGTAGCCAGTTGAGGGAGGTGACTGTATCTACGAAGGGCTCATGCAGAGCCCTGTAGTACCTCCCGTGGAGCTCCTTCTCCTTCCATACGGTCTCCCGGTCGGAAATGCTATGTACTGCCGGGTCTTGCCATTGCTCGTTGGCTAAGGATAGAGGGGTAAGCCCTTTATCACTAGAAATGACGTCATTATAGAATGGATCATCCGATCTCGCCAGGAAGTAATGACGGAGGCTGCACACTTCGCGATTATGCATGGTGAGCGCGCTCAGGAAGCCACGCCCACCATGCTTTCGCGGCAAGTACAGCCTCATTACCGACGATCTCGGATGATGCATCCTATGGGACGTCATGGTAGTGCGGACTTTTCTATCCAGGGCGTTAAGTTCGGTCTGAGTCCACCTGAGTATGCCAAAGGTATATATGAGGACAGGCATGTACCCAACCGTTATATGCGTGTGTCTTATTCACACCGGACAAAAGGCTGTTAAGCACTTTGGTCAAGCGTGCATAAAACACGTCGCAAACTGACTGTTTCATACCAGCCTCATCGATACCGATGTTCTGTGACATACCCAGGTATCGGTATGTTTCAGCCTCGGAAAGGGTCCTTAAGTTGATAGGCATAGATAGATCTATGCCCTCAGAGCTAGCAACCCTTCCCCTTTCAACATGAAGGACCGCATACTTATCCGTCCCCAGCTCCATTCCAATACAATTGCTAAATTGACAAGTAATGTTTAGCAATTCCATAAGATGGGAGCGACTGGAGGCGAATAACTTGAGGTCATCCATATAGAAAAGGTGGGTCACTTTTGTTCCTCCCTTCCGTAGCTGAAATCCTCTCCCGGAGCCCTCCAGTAAGGTACTGAGAGGGTTCAGAGAGAGGCAGAACCAGATTGGACTCAGACAATCGCCCTGGAAGATACCCCTTCTTATCCTTATGTGGTTCTCCGCAGCCATCATCCGCTCGCCCAGATAACAGAGGATCGTACTCCACTGCTCCATACACTGCTCGAGGAAGTCTCTAACTGTACAGTCAATCTTGTACAGCTCGAGGACCCTCTTTAGCCATGTATGGGGCACCGAGTCGAATGCCTTTCTGTAGTCTATCCAGGCGGCGGAGAAATTCCGACGGTTGCGTTTCACCACTTTGCCAATGACCGCGTTAATTAGGAGTGGTTCCTTGGTTCCACGACCACCGCCCTGACATCCATTTTGAACGCGTGACATCACCTGATTTAACTCCAGGTGACGAGTGGTTCTCGCGCTCAAAATGGATGCCAGTGTCTTATATATGGTGGGTAGACGCGTGATGAGACGGTATTTGCTCGGATCTGTGGTATCCTGATCTTTAGGAACCAAATGAGTGATCCCAGTAGTGAAGAGGCTCGGGAGCGACTTCTGGTTAAGAGCCTCTTGGAACTGTCGGGCGAGCACAGCGTGACACACTACGAACCCCTTCAGCCCGTCGAGCCCCGGACTTTTCCAGTTCGGGGCCCTACGGACCGCCTCAGCCACGTCTTCAGGCGTTATGGTGACGGGGTCCATAGGCGTAACACTTACACTCTGGCTCGCCTCAACTTCCATTCAAGGGCCCTCGCTGTGGTTTACGGGCTCTGACCACAGGCCACGCCATTATTATTATTATTTTTATTATTATTATTCATAATATGCTGCAGCGTGGCTCTACCACGTTAATTTCACCGTGAAGTGCACAAGCGGCTTAAGTCATTAAATATTAGCTAATATTCCATAACTCACAGTCGTAAGCAGGTTTTTGTTACCGTTACGTCATATTTCTATCATAATACAACAAAGATATACATATATAAATAAAAAAGACGTGTCTGTCTGTCTATAGAAATAACTGGATTCTATTAAGCCATGGGTTATTTGCACGCTATTAAGACTTAAATAACCATTTTAAAATTATTTGTCCGTCTGTCTGTCTGACCTGATCTTAGTAATAACTAAACCTATCGTGATGAAAGTTCACGAACAGAATAAGAGCGATGCCATGAAGAATCTAGATTTTAGACTATAGTACGTGAGGGTAATATGGTCATCCGGTTAATATGTTCATTTTCTTATAACTCAAAAACTGCAGCCTTGTTTGCATAGATGGCTTTGTGATTCTATAGCTCTTCATTAGTCAATCAAATATTAAAGAGCTAGAAGTATGGAGTGTAGAAGTAAGGAGTACAGACTGTGTATTATAAAAAAGTGTCCACAGAAAACCGTTAAATAATGGTGGCGCCACTATAGCTACGGGGTAAATTTTATAGAACGTGCCGAAAAATATTAGTGGGATAGACGACTTTTTCGAGGTTATATTTGCTAAATAAAATTATTTTAGATTTTAGAGCTACTGAGCAGTTTAGCAGCACACTTCGAACCGTCGACAACTGCTAAATTCATTTCATCCCAGTAGCTACTAGCGCTGTTGTGGAGAGTTTTTGAGCTGTTATTTACTGCTTACTGATGGCCACTTTTTCAACTATTCTACTATGGGAGTCCATACTCCTTACTTTTACACTCCATAGCTAGAAGGGCGCTGCTTCATCGACAACATTTTGTCAGTAGATTTAGTAACTATTTTAGTCAAGTTTAGTATTGTGTAGTTAGTCAGTCTTTTTAGGTTTGTTAGTTAGGTTTGTTAATTAGTTGTTAGTTAGTTATTTTTTTTAGGTTGATTTTTCAAAGTGTACATAATTATTGCCAAAGCTTGCTATTATTTTCTTAATATATTAGTCATAGTGTACGACTTTTTATTTCTGACTCTGCCCTTCTCTTAGTTTCAGTTTTATAGGGCGGCAAAGCTTAAGGTGATCATATTACCCTCACGTTCCTTATATTTTATTCGAAAAACTTAAAGATTTTAAGAACGCTAAACATTGGTATAATCTTTGATTATCTTAATAATAAGGCCACATTAATAGACAATTTCCAGGCGAAGCCGCAGCGGGATGCTAATGAATAATAATGTTATGGCCGTTACTCAATTTCAAGCTGACATTACTCATAAGCTTCGCGGTGTTACACAGTCAGTTTGACGTAGAATTATGGAGTGTGGAAGCAAGGAGTACCAACTCGCATAGTAGAATAGTTGAAAAAGTGGTCATCTATTAGCTGTAAATAACAGCTCAAAAACTCTCCACAACAGCGCTGGAGTAGCTACTGGGGTGAAATGAACTTAGCTGTTATCGATGGTTTGAAGTGTGCTGCTAAACTGCTCAGTAGCTCTAAAATCTAAAATAATTTTATTTAGTAAATATAACCTCGAAAAAGTCGTCTATCCTACTAATAATTTTCGATGCGTTCTTTAAAGTATACCCCGTAGTTACAGTGACGCCACCCTTATTTAACGGTTTTCTATGGACACTTTTACACAGTCTGTACTTCTTACTTCTACACTCCATAATATTAAGGTTACTCAATTTCAAGATGTCGTTAGTCGTAAGTTTCGCGGTGTCGGTGTCGGTGACACAGTCAGTTTGACGTAGAATGATAGAGACAGCGTGAGATAAAATGAAGGCTAATAATCTATACGCTCACTAGATGTCGCTAG